GTTAGTCAAACAGAAAACCGTCTAGTATAGTTATCAAATAATAAATAAACTGATCAATTTGCTTGATTAAGCTAAAATAATGATGATGATGATGATGAAAATAAAATATTTGCTAATCGATTTTCAATTAGTTGTTTTTTAGCGGATATGGCTCTGATTAAAGAGGGATGGGAACAAAATAGACAATAATCTGGACAAAAGAAAAGGGATAAATAAATATATATATATATATATATACAGAAATTCTCCTATGTGGATGTCCGCACGTTATTATTGTGCGGACGCCGTGTATTTTTTATTATCCATCTATGCTTTCTTCTCTGTTTGTAATGACATCTGCACAATAATAACATGTGGACATCCGAATGAGAGAATAACTGAGGGAAACTTTTGTAGGACCCACTCCTTATTGTATTTTACGAATCCAAACTGTCTATTTTGTAGATACTCATTCAAATATCAAATCTACCAAAAAATCACTTAAATCTGATATCATTTAACTATTTCATTGAATTATTGAAATTTTAGTACTTTCTTGAAGCACCGTGTTCATTGATTTTGTAGAACACAACTGGATTTCAAAACGGTTTCCGATTTGTCTAATTTTTTGCAAGGATTATTTATGAATGAAGACTTAAAAAATAGATGGTTTGGATCGTTAAAAAAAAATTCGTAGAGTACCCTAAAGGGTATCTCTCAAATAAAATTATTTGAGAGATCCCTTAATAGAAGGGGACTATGTATATATATATATATATATATAGTTTGTAATTTATATATACATAAATCTTTGACATAATTGGTCATTCTATTTCTATCAGAAAAGTGCGGCATTAATGTCATAAATAACTGGAACGGCTCTACGCAGCAACATGTTTTCATATTAGGGATGCGCCCGTCAGCCTAACTTTTAAGTTAATAGGGAGGGAGGCTATGTACTAAAGTAAGGGTTGCTCATTAAGTGATTGTGATAAGTATACTTGATCCTGCTGAGTCATTCAACATTGTGGTCATCAAAAGAAGGTGCTTAGTGAGCAGCGCTAATCATGGGTTAATTGGGCTGCTTACTCATTTGTTGAGGTGCGATTTCGTTAATCAGTTGGTTACTTAACTAACACATTGTTGTTAGGGTTCTTTAGTTAGGAAACTTAGTCAGGAAGTGATGTTCTTCTTAGAATAAAGTTCATTTCCTCTGTGTATAAAACAAGGAGTTCTAACATTGGTATCAAATGAGTGCCCTAGCTTCCCTTCTTGTGTATGATTTGTCAATACGTCATGGAAGCTACTTTTTACAAAATTGAAGCTACTTTTTCGATTACAAGCTTTCTTTGGATCTGAAGCATGATCAGCTATGCACGGCGGTTGTCCATCGCGATGACTTCTTGTTGCCTAATAATAATGACATTGATGAAATTCCAAATCTGTGTAAACTCAACTTTTCAAAATTGTCAACCTACTTGTGATTTTATTTTTCTTTCATAAAAAGGCTCCAAAACTTATAAATACAAATCAGAATTATATATTATCATGACCACACATGGTAGAGCTTGTCAACCTGCTATCGCAATTTGTATCGAAGTGTAATGAGAAAAAAAAATACTAAACAGATATGTATCGTAGCGTTAAAAATGTATTGTATACGTATACGAACACGAGAGTTACAAGAAAATTGCAGTGCTTCATAGTCCAAAAATATTGCAACTGAATCAATATCATCATCACAATATGTGTAAGCAATTAGGATTTTTGTCGTTGACAATCCATATAAATGCGTTTCTAGCTAGCTATTGATTGTGTGGTATTACTCTCTACTATGTCCGATTAAGTTTTCAATATGTATTTCTAATTAGCTTGAAATTAATATCTATAAATAGTATAGCCGAGCGGCCATACCCGGATTAAAAAAAAAAGTATTTCCGCACGGCTATACTCGGTTTTTTTTAAATTAAAAAAAAACAGTACAACCGCTTGGCGTTACTTGTTTGGCACGTGGCGCCTAGGGGCTGGGCGGGTCCTCTTTTTATAAATAAATATATATATAGTATAGCCAGTTGGCTATACCCGGTTTTTTAAAATTTGATTTTTAAAAATAGTATAGCCGGGCGGCTGTTCTTTACAGCCATGAGGCTAATAATAATAAAACTGGCAAATTTCGCCACCATATACCTGTGGCGACGAACCTTCATCGGGAATTTTTTTATTTTTTTGAATTTTAAAATTTGAAAATATAAAATTAGTTTCTTTATTTTTGTGTTTTTGGCCAACTTCTTAATTTAATATATGTAATTAAGTAATATCTTAGCCTTTTTGAATTACTTTAATTAGTAATTATGTTTTAATTATTATTTCTTTGGTGAATATTTAAATATGTTAAAGATAATTAATTTTTTCAAGAGCCCAAGAGCCACACGGCTATACTCTTTATATATATAGTGGGATCCATTTTTTCCCTGATTTTCGTTTATCGATAAAAGTTGTTTAGAGCATTGTCCATTACTATTAGGAATGTGCTTTTAAAACAAATCACTATCATATTATGGGATTTGATGAGGGAGAAAGGTCGTATCTGGATTTTTAATTTGTAAAAAAATTCTACTGCAGCTAGGTTTGTATATATATATATATGCTTTACGAACACTTCTTTAAACCATGATCTCCTCCTAAACGAGATCACTCATTTTCCCAAACAATCTTCTGTAATTTGATTTAGTTTGCTAGTTTGACTTTGGGTATTTATATTGCATTAAATTATTTCCTTATTAGCTGCTGTAAACTGTGTATCTATGTAAAGGCTTATTACTAAAGTTTATGTTGAAAATGTATTTCACTCTTAATTATTACATTTTATATTTAAAAAATTATTCACGATTGACTACTTTGCACAGCTTGAAGATCATGTTAGATAATCTGGCCAGCTTCTTATTATTATAACTTGAGCTGTGTTATAAAAATAAAATAATCAGAGTATGAAAAGTACCACTGAATATTATGAGTAGAATTGTATTTGTTCTTGTGATGTTTACATTGACAAAATTTCCTCTCAGAGAGAACTCATTCTCTCTTCTTTCCTCTCACTCTTCCTTTCTTTCCTATCTTCTCTATTGGTGTGTTCTACAATTGAATGAGCAAGCCTATTTATAGGCAAATTGGATGGCTTCATTATCCAACATCATCATTAAGCTTTTGTCTATTATTTCCTTCTTTTCTTTATGTGGGTTTCACCACCTTCTTTACAAGTAGCGAGACTTTTAGCTTTTTTCAAACGCAACTTGTAGATGAAACGAGTCAAATGAACTTAAAGTTCGATAAATAAGTTTGAACGCAATGACATTCGACTTTTTTTCTTTTTTCTTTTTCTTCTTTCTACCAAAGTTAAGAAGCGGAAGGGGATTTTCTCAAACACACTGCCAAAGTGGCATGAAATTCAAACCTAAGATCACTGGTTCTCAAGTCAATGTCATTTCCAATTAGACTAGACCCCATTGACCAATGATATTCGACTTGATTCGACTCATTTATAGCCATTGTGGTAAATTGTTGTTAGCCCAATGCTAAAGCCACAGGCCTATGATGGATAGATATGAGGGATATTCTGTAAATTTGGGCTCTCAAATGATAAAACTAAAAAGTCCATTTGATTGCTGGTGAACCACAGCGGTTAATCTGAGGTCGCGCCGAGAAGGATTTGCATCAGAGAGCAGTCTCACAACTGTTAGACAAATTTGATCAGCTAAAATTGATGGCCAACGGAATCTAGTCAAGTGAAAATAGACTTTGACTTACAAATCAGTGGCATCAAATTTGAACTCCCATGACACCTTATTAATGTGTGTGTTAGAAACCCCCTCTTTATTGTAGCATAAACTGTTACTTGTATTTTTTTATATATAACAAGTGTAAAATTGATAAGTAAATGTTGTAAAAATAGCGTTGTTCGTTTTTATCAAACTAATGACTCAGGTAGACTCCCTCCTTGGACTTTATGTGAGAGTTTTTCCATCATACCCTACCAAAAGGGCCACAGATTTGATCTTAAATTGACAGACACTTCTCGATCAAAGCCTAAAATTAATGCACCAAGCTTTAAGACCCTTGACTCATAGTCACTACAAAATCATAGTAAAGAATCTGTACCAAGTCTTGCGATTTGTGGAGAATCTCTGACGGGTTTAGGCAACTCTTTGCCTAAAGAAATAAATATGAAAGCTCATATTGAAATCTACACTCTGCAGGCAGTAAAAATGGAACACCGATTGTTTTTTTTTTTTTTTTTTTTTTTTTTTTTTTAAAATATGAAAATAAATAAACTGGAAATGATGAAATGACAGATTTGATAATAAAACCATCAGAAATTGCATCTTGAAAAACAAAAACAAAAGCAAAAAAAGATGCCTTCAACAATCAAAATAGTGAGAGAGTAGGGACAATAGGCAAAGAGTGACATGACCAAAAATTGCCGTTATTGATGAGGACAAAACATGGATGATGATTCAATCGTGAGTGGCTTTGTTTGTTATGAAACACAAACGTGAATTCAGTTCTCTTTCTCTTTACCTGCCTGCCTGCCCTGCAACACCAGAGGGAAAAAGGACTTACTTTTTACGGTTAGAATGCCACAAGTGAGTCTTCAAAGTGAGTAAATTTGGAAACAGCACGGGGACAAACCTGTCTACACTCTTCTGGATTGGTTTTTGGCCTCTCTCCTTTTCATAAGCAGCAGAATCACAAGCATGGGCTCAGGCATGTTTCCCCAGTCCCTTCATCAATAATTCACTCTCTCTCTCTCTCTCTCTCTCTCTCTCTCTCTCTTGCACTGCAAAGCTCTATATATATTGGTGCTCCAACTTTTCCCTCTCCAAGTATAGCAAGTTTTCATTTCAGCTGTATAAATGATGAAATCTTTGTACATCATCTTCTTATGTTTCCTTATCGCAGTTCTCTATTTTTCTTCCCACAATATCAGTTCCTCTTCTCTGGTTTTTCTCCCTGGAAGGAAACCCATGAGAAAATTAAGCATGCCACTGACCAGCAACAAACATGTCTATCAAAAACTCAAGGTAGGTTTTTCTTTAAAATAAATGAATAATATTCTCCTTCCAAATTTTCAGGCATTTCAGAAAGTTTTTCCTGAGAGAAACTTGACCTATTATATAAGGTCCGAATTGGATCTGTTCTCAGTTCTCAGACAGCCTGCCAAATTCTATTTGAAAATGAATCCTGCTCAAGCATGTTATTCACTTTAGACGACACAATGGGTTAACAATCATGATGTGCAGTTCTGAACAGTCTGCTAGTTTCAGACATTATTTTCATTTTCGAGTTTGTAGCCTACAGCTATCTAATTCGGTTAATATAATTTTTCTTAACTTTTTCTTAAATAAATAATTGTCTTTATATTCTACTCTTATCCAAAACCATCATTGAGGTTGTGCTACATGCAGGTCATTGATGGAAAGTCAGAAACATCGACGGTTGAAGAAATTCCTGTAGCAACTAAATATGCAAACAGCAACAGCGATTTAGACGAGCTTATTTATCACATTGATTACCATGGAGTGACTACTCATCCAACACCCAGACATCCCAAGCCATAGACTGTTGCTTAGCCTTCTTGATTGAGATGTATGCAGATATGTATTTATATATCTCATCAATACATTAAATATGGGATAATCGGAAAGAACAACTGATGAAATTTGTCTACTATCAGTGCAGTATTCATGTTTCTTTTTATCATTTCCCTTTACCTACATAGCTGTTGTTCGGAAGAATAAAATCCTAGTCAAGAGTGATGCATTACATACCTTTGAGCTGTAGTTATAGAAGGCGATGACACTTTAACCATAAGCTGGTTACATTTGGTATGAAGCTGGTTCATTAACATGTGGAATCAGATTTCAATGTGCAAGAAGTAGCTGATCCATTCCTGTCCATCAGGTCCTCACAGTGTTGGAACTAGCTATAATTGAGAACAGATAGGTGGTAGCTAACATGTAAGATAACTCATAATTCATAATGGAGTGAAACCATTCCATTCATATATTGCTTTCTGGCCTTCCTATATTTCTCTAGCAGTATTGTGTAGCTCTCTATTGCATGCTCAAATATCACCTCACTACTAAACCTAGATCTTAGCTGCTGGAATGCAGCTTCTACCTTGTCTTTGTGTTGAATACATAATGACAAGAAGTTTTTCATTCCCATCAAAGGCATACACTGGTCATGATTTGGACTGCTTTCCTCCTCCAGATTGAGAGATCCAAGCCATCTAATTCGTTGGAATGGATCTTTGTTTTTATGAATTGCTAATTCTATGCTCGTGAACACTTCCAAGAAGTGTGACTCTGTATTAATTTTGTCAATCAGCTGACAAAAAATGTCTCTCTGATTCAAATCAAGCCAATTAAGGGTATGTGATTGCGAAAAAACTGAAGCAACCAAGCAAGCCTTCCGAAAGGTAGAATCAGAATCACCGATCATCCCAATGGCAGCATGCAACAAATTCACACATATATCATGAATAATTCCAGACGAAGACTCAAAAGAATTATGAGCTTGTTTTTGGTTCTCGTTCCAACTGAAGAATGCAACATGAATAAATCCCTCCCACCTGCATTTAAAAATGAGAAGCGGAGTATGTGAGAGAGTGTAGCAGGGTTAATACTAATCTTCATCACCATATATTTATTTTTTCTTGTGATTTCAGATTTATCAATTTATTTGAAACAAAGTGGTTTTTTATAAAAAAAAATCCAAGAGTCAAAAAATAAAAGAGTCTAATGGGCAATACTTAAGTGGATTAAAACTACATTTTGACCAAACATCGTACACACATTCCATTCAAAACAGAATGACAATCAACTTCACTTTCTTCAACCTATGTGAAATAGAGATGAACTCACAAAGTGATTGCTTAGATGTAATCGCAGCAAAATTAAAACACATTTTCAATACGTGTGTGCTTGACTTATAGTATTCACACACATCACAGCCTGGTGGTAAACAATAATCACGAAGTATCAATTCGATATTCACATGCGTGCACGTGTATGTGTAGTTTCATTGTACTATTCTATGTAACGTAGATTATGACGCATCTTTAGTGTTAAGGTAAAAATTGAAATATACAATATTACATTAAATAAGGCATGTCAAGGCATCAGCTTTTCCATGCACATGGGGTCCAAGAACTTGTCTCTCTGTCTTGTAGAAAAAGATGTCTACTAATCGATACCATATGATTTGTTCACGAATGTGGATCAGCCCACATGCATTGTTGAGCCTCGGAAAAATATTTCAAAGAAAAATTATTTTAGGCAATCAAAATATTTTCCAGTCTATACAGAAGACAGTCATATCAAAATGTAAGAGAATTATTTTGATGTGTGCAAGGACCATAATATCAAATTGGCCTTTATGGAGAAATTTGAAAAAATTGTATGAGCTGAGAGAGAAGGTGGAGGGGTTGGAGGGGGACAGAGGGGGAGACAGAAAATTTTAAAATCAAAACATCAAGTATAATTTCACAATGTATCACTGATATATCAATGATACCAACTTGAACCATATGACACCATTAGGCCACAACAGGCTGTATTTCAGAATTTCATGACTATCTACTTCACCAACAGCATAGAGACAAAGAAGCAGATAAAAAAGCTCTATTGTCAATCAAAGAATTAAAGTTCACCAGAACATAAAATCCTTGAGTTCTTGACAATTCCAATGGTTTGTATAATTGACCAACTCTTGTGATGACCCAAGTCTCATTCTTAATGATTAACAGATCAAATTCCCTTGCTGCAGAAAAGTTGTACCCACAAATGCTTCGGACTCAGTGACAGCTCTTGGGGTCTTGAGGTAAAGTGGATAGGGATACAGTTAGCAGGACTCCAGACAATTACTAGCTCATTCATTGAGCATTCTTGAGATGCTATTAATCCTATTTTTACTGGTATTAGAAGTATAGGCAAGCTCGGTATTGAAACAGAATATTAGTATTATAGACATATACAAAAAACAAAAGTACAAGATATTTTGTAATAAACAGGTAATGTTCATGCACACAAGACATTTAGAATAGGCCACCCATCCCCTCTATTTAGATCTTATTCTATAAGTTGTAGGTCAGGAATTGAATCAAGCATCATTGCAACATGCCCTTATAATCCTTAAAAAAAATCCACCTAAGAGGAGAAAAAACAAATAATTCTAGAGACTATGTAGCTGATATATGATTAAAAAAAAATTTGTTTGCCCATACCCTCCTCCATACTCTGCAACATAATGAATCATGTATCTACCGAATAAACATCCTACTTGTTAATGTTCTATCAATCATATACTGGCCACAAAACAACATACCCATTAATATTTTAATGAACAACTAATTAAACAAATAATATCTGCAAATGCACAATGTTTCATAATACAAGGACGAATGGACTCTAAACTAGAGCAGTTGGTTGCAACTTTGAGATCAGTAACCAGGTAATCAATGGTCCTATGTTTGACTCTCATGGACTATGCATAGGATCTGCAAGTTATTTCATGCATATATTTCATCAAATAAGCCAAGGCTGTTGCATTTAAGAAAATTGATCATCATTAGATATTATTTTATTCTCAACGTCAATTCATAACTTACTCAAAAGGAGGTTCAACCTCAATACCGAGTGTAAGGTGTAAGGAATAGCCATCAGATCCATCAAAACTAATATTTTCGGTGCATGCCTCATGAAGAATACCTCTTGGAATATACAAAATATCACCTTCCCTCAGCAAAAATTGTTTGCATTCAGCCATTGAATTCTGAACTTCTGAATCATGTAGCCAATCAAGAGTATCATATAATCGAGGTAACTGCACATTTGATTGAGGAAAAAGTCTCCATTGCTTAGTCCCAACAAGTTGGCATACAAACACACAATGGTCATCGTAATGACGAGCCAAGCCTTGGGAATTAGGTGGTGTCAAGTACATATTGGCACCAACTGATGGCTGACCAAAGAGAGATGCTAATTCATTTGCAATGGCAGCAAGACTCTCAAAGCGAAACTCCATTCCACGGAGTGCAATTGTATAACCCTCTTTGTATGCTTCTTGGCATTTTAAAATTTCCTCAATAGTAAAGTAATGGGGATCTTTTATGCAGCAAGAATTCAAACTCTCCTGAAAGAAATGCACCTCCCTCTTCAGGTGGCTGTCTGTTCTTAGAACCCGAATGTCCTGCTGGCAGATTAGAGGACAACCCAATTTAATTTTCACCTCTTCCAGGAAATTAAGGATGTTCAATTCATCTGAAGAAATAGGAAGACAAGAAACCATCTTTGGAAGCATAGAAGAAAGAAAGGAAGGAAATTTTCCTGTTGAATTTAGCAATCCTACAAATGGACCAAAAATATCATCCACCTCAACTAAACCCCCTTCTGACAGCCCGCGTCGCACAAGAAAGGGTGACACCTCCCAGTGGTTCGACATGAAATCTTTAAAACCAGACTCAGAGAAACCAAATATACCCCTTTCAACCACATGAAAGGGCAAAGGCTTGGTACGGTGAGAAGCACAAATGGAAAGCCTAAACAGGCTTTCAGCCATATGACTTATTCTAATGTTGCTAATGTACAAGTTTTCCCCTTGTGCGGACTCCAATGGGTTTTTGAGTAACATCTCATTACGCACTTTTGCCCACAGATTTCTCATAAAGGCAAAGAAAGCTTGGGAGAGGTTTGTTGGGATGTTCTCCAATTGTTCAATGTTACAGGTGTTGATGAGAATGATTGCAGCATTAAGAAGTAGAACTGGAAGTTCATCTTCCTCAAACCCAATATTCAGAGAGGTAATACCTTCACTATACACAGAGACAGAGCACAAGGACACTGAAATCATTGAAGATTTATGAACCTGAAGAAACCCAAAACTAAGAACCTATCACATGTCAAGTCAAGTAATTGAAAAACAAGAAAAACAAACGAAAGCGAGATAAGTGTCAGCATACTCACAGAAGCCTGGGAAGTGCAGATGAATGAGCAAAACGACGTCGTCCGACTGAAGTAGTGCACAAATCCAAAAGGGCATGGCAGGCAGCCACTGGAAGTCTGGTTTTGGAGCTACCTAATGCGGCTAGCAAGCCATTGATGATGCCAGCATCGGAAGAAATCCTCTGGTTCATGTCCAAGGACTCGAGGGCGGCGGACCCCACCATCTCGGCGGCACGGGAAGCTATGGTGGGGGACTTGAAAGTGAGGAGAGCTGGGAGAAGAGAGAGGATGGGATTGGTGAGGGAGTTTCGGAGTTTGTTCAGGCATTTCTTGATTAAGGGTCGGAGGGAGTTGGGGTTTGGAGACGACAGAGCTGCCAGTACGACAGCGAAAGCGGCGTCGTCGCTAATGTCATCGGATTTCGGTTTCCTTTTTCTTTTGCTGCAATGCTTCTTCATTTTTGTTCAAAAGACGATGGATTTGACAAACTGCAACAAAAGACCTTTCGTTGCTTTGCTTATTTTGTTCGTTTAGTTATTTTTCTCTTTTCCTGTTTTGTTTTGGGCACGCATTACTTATTTGGTGAAGTTTCATTTTATTTTCTATCATTCTCAACAAAATTAGCCAGACAATATATGCATTTTTTTATTTATAAAAAAACATTGTGTTTATTTATTGATTTGGCTAATCTTTTTGTAAGGGCGACATTTGAATGATAACCTAAAAAATGAATTGTTCAGATGATGAGATGAAAACAAAAATAAAATGGTTTCGTCTTGTCAAACCATATCTTATCTTTCTAAAACATGATGTAAGTGTATGCATTGTGAGTTTTTCTTTTAGCTTCCCTTGACAATATTGTAATATGACATACATTATAATTACCCGAGTTCAAGTTTAGATTAAGAATAGTTTCTCTAAGTGTTTTTATCTAGCTGCTATCTTATGGAAGATTAATCATATTGGCAAAGGTCATTTGTGCATTGCATCATATTGCATTCATTAGATTTATTAAGATTATGACTAGTCATCTTGTTTTCATATGACTAGTCATCCTTTGTATCAGTAGGATTTCCAGCTCACTGGTTTCCAGCTAGATCCTAACCAACTTTTTTGTCATATTCCGCAAATTTTCTCAGCTGCCATGTGTACTATTCTGATATAAGAATTTTTTGGTAAAAGCCAAATGATTCCTCATTTGGCAACAGTCAATTTTGAGGTGAGGTTTTGAGAAGGTTTCTTCCATCCTTTTGCTCTCTTTTCTCCCTCAAGAGAAAACCACTATTTTCATCTATGAGTTTTCTAAATTGATTTTTCGAAAACTGCTTTTGAAATATGAAATCTGCATCTAGCTAAAACAAACGTTCTTTCATATACATCTAGGTCTATTCAAGATTGATTTCTTCAAGAGTATGATTTTTTGAAGAAATTGGTCATTTTTCCTTGAATCCAAATTTTGGTTTCTGTCTGAATTTGAGTTGGCTAGCTAGTGCCATGGGATGAAAGAGTTGAATAAGAAACTGTCATTGCCATGAAGGACTAAGCTACTAGTTTTGCTAAGTTAGAGAAGAAGATTGCACAAATGATGTATAGTTTATCTTCCTAAACAGATATATGATTTCTTGAGCTTGCTTGTTTTCTTTTGTAAGAATCTTCTTTGCTTAGTAGATTGTCTGGTCGGTTGATGACCCCCAGTTTTTCTCAATGGTGGGTTTCTGGGTTGCAGCTTTATTATTTTATGGGTTTGTGTTCTTAATAATTGACTAGGCATCGCGTGATGTTTATGCATTTCTGGGTTTGTGTTCTTGCGGTTGACGAGCTATCATTATATGATATTTGTTGTTTACTTGAGTATGATGTTTTCACACACATTCACCATAGTTGTTGCTAGCACAGGAGATGCCTAGATTTACAAATCATTTTGAGTGCTTAGGTTGTCACTAGTAATTTTCTAAGCTTGCAAGTACAAATTGTTATGCTTTGTGCGTGTGTTATTGGTTATGATTTTACATGACTAGCAGTTGACCAATCATAAACATATTTGGTTAAGGTTCAAAGTGTGTAAAGATTGCAGTGTCTGCTTGAATAGCATTTAGATTTAACCCCCCTTCACCTAAGTACCAATTTCACATCACATTCTGGTCTTGGCCAAAAAAAATTGTTTTAAGATTTTGCTCCGCGATTAGGCATAATACAAGCTAAGAGAAGGTAACCCAAGTTCTTGGTGCCACATCTAAGTGAAAGTCTGATGTTTAGTAGACAGGAGCACTAGTCTCAGTAAGTGCCAATGTGACTATTTTATCCAAGAGGAAAAAAAGAGGAAAATGTTATACTGAAATACAAATATAACGTTCAAATCGCAGTAGAGGTGAAGAGGCAGACAGCAGTCCATCAACTACGAGTACAATTTTATCCAAGAGATCATTCTCAAAAGTAAAAAACTAAAATAAGTAACCAGAAAAAAAAAAAAAAAAAAAAAAAAAAAAAAAAAAAAAAAAAAAGCAAAGCTAAATGAAAAAGTGCAAACATTACTCCCCCCGCATGTAATAGAAGGAGTTATTTCATAAGCACTACATTCAACTTCTCTACGAATTCAGCTACCAGTTTCTGATCATTGATGATTCAATTTAAAGATCCTCCCTATGCTGGACCTCAATGCCCAGAAGCTTTGCCAGTTCTCCACTTTCATATGCTTCAACAGTATCTAAAAAACAGCATATTTATCAGTTGTTAGCAATTCCCTGGTTTAATCAACTTTCCAGAAACAAAGAGAATGAACACAAAATATTTTGAAAGGAAAACCAGTTACCATCTGAGCCCCCAATGTACTTTCCCTTCACCCACACCTGTGGTACAGTACGCCTCCCAACAAGCTCACCTAAAGCATCTTGGATATCTCGACCGTCAGCTGAAAGAAACACATTGCCATCTCCAATCAATAACTAATAGTGGAAATGGTACATGTATATGCACACAACACAGGCATATACGCCTTCAAATATCAAAGAAAACTGCACAAAGCTGTCAAAAGGGTGCTGCTACAAGAAGCATTTTTGAGTTCGCAAACTATTCTCCTGAATGCAAATTCAAGCTAATATCTCACATTCACAACCTGCAATCCTGAAAAGCAAATTCTAAGCAAAAAATCTGGAAGTTCATGCAAGCTTGTACTGTCTAGTAGTTATAAGATTGAACAATTAATGCACCTTCATACAACTCAACAAGAAGTTTACTACTCTAATTAAGTGTCATTTCATCAAATTGGTTTCTACCATAAAGTCAATTTTGCACCAATCACATATTTCAGCAACAAGCTCCTTACTTTTTTATGTCTTTTCATGCACAGTTTGAAAGAATCAGTAAGGTTTAAGTAACTATACCTCTCTCATCAAGCTCAACTACATAGGGTACTTGGTTCAACTCTTTGAAAACAGCTTTTGCCCTTTTACAGTACCTGCAAATTACCCAAATAAATAAAAAATTAGGGAAAAAAATAGAAGCGAATTTAATGTACACAAGCTCAATCTAAATCACAGACAACATTGTGTAAAACCCAAAATTTGATTTTTAATACTCATTTCCTTAAAACCCAGAAGCCCTTCAATGGCAACAAAATCAATAAAGGGCTCATTCTACATAAATCAATCGAAGATTTATTCTATTCCAGATTATTTTTAAATGAAATTAGGAAATGGGTCTGAATTAAGTCAAACAGATGATGTGCATGCAAATTTACAAGAAATAATGAAAGGAAATAGAGCGGATGAGAATACGGGCAATAGGACTTGGAGAAGATGGCGATCTTGTTGGAATCGATGGTCTTCTTGATGAAGGCGATAGAGTCGGCCGAAGAAGGTGATGATGAAGACGAAGTTAAGGTCCAGAAGAGAGACGTTGCTAATATAACTGCGGCTGTTGCTGATAGCAAAGTCTTGCTTGACGCCATTGATGGTTCGGATCTCAAGCGCTGCACACTGAAGCGCTTTTCTTAAGACTACTCAGAAACAGAATTCTACTGGCCTTCTGCTAAGCCTGTTAAAGTGACGGAGCAGTCGAGTGGCTGTGAGATGTCACGGAGAGTTCACGTGACATCAATCTTTTTTGTGGACGAAACATGAGATCAATCTCAAGGCTTTCTTTGTTTTTTTTTTTCTTTTTAAATTAATTATTGGCATTTTTTCTTTGATATAAGCCATAATCTAAACAACTTTAAATTAATCTAATCTATAAGAAGGAGATTCGAACTTGGGAGCAACATGATAGACTCACTCTCTTGTCCAATTGACCTAACTCACGTATGAATATACATAGTTGAAAGAATCAACAAAATACACAATAAAGACTCCATAGTAGGGGTGGACATAATTCAGTTCAGTCTAATTTAATCTTAAAATAAAAAACTGAACCGAATAAAATAATTGGCATGATTTGGGTTTATTTTTGTTCAATGAGTTCTATTCAATTTAAGCTTGAAACCATTTTTTTATTGGGGTTGTCTCATCACTAATTCATCAACGAACTCAAAGAGAAACAAAAAAACCAATAGATGACGAGCAGGGGCGGCCTGGGGTGGTACAAGTGGTGCTAAAGCACAGGGCCCCCGAAAAAAAATTTCTTTATATTATATATATATATATTAATATTATATGAATCGTATATATAGTATAGGGTATGGATATTTGCATAACAGTGTGTTCAGGGGAGTTGGATGGAGCGCATGTATCTTTTGCAAAAGGGTCTGAGTTTGATGCTCCTTGAGGTCATTCTACTGGCTAGCCTTTTTTGATATTATTTTTGCATTCAAACTTTACATAATTATAAAATTTAAATAAAATAAAAAAACAGAAAGTCTTTTACAAACAGGCAACGTGGAAGCTTAACCACACCAAATGAGGAATATATATGATATATCCCCCAAACGTTCTTAAAAATAAAGTAAAAAAGGTTTTCTCCTCTAAGAAAAGTACTTTCTTCATTCAAAACACCATGAAAAAAACTTCATGACTTCTTTTTTCTCTTAAACTCTGATTTTCTAGTAAGTAATCATCATTGTTCATCAATTTCTCTAATTTGTTAATGACATTTGTGTGCAACTATTCTTTAATTTGTGATTGCCAATTTTTTTTCTTCTATTAAACACAGATTACTTATTGGAGGCAACAAAGGACCTTATAAGGGCAATTGTACCTAACATTTAACTTTATCAAATGGAAACATTTAAATTTTAATGAACTTGATTTTTGATTGTCATTGCATATTTATTGATGGTGAATTTTAGTTATAAAAAAAATTGTTTATGACATTAAGTTATGGCAAATTTTTATAGTATTTTCGTATTAGATTATTCGATACCCCAATTTAAGTTTCGCACAGGGCCCTCAAAATCTCAGAGACGGCCCTGATGACGAGATTGGAGACATGAATGGAGATTGTGAGACCATGAGGAAGATGAGGGAACTTGTCTTGTTACTGCATGTATGTTTCGTTCTAGCTGTAAGTCAAAGGTATGATTAACCATAATTAGTGTGACAACGTGCTGAAGAGTCAAGAACCTATATTCATTAAAAATATAAACAAAATAGCATCCATGTGTTTCATCTTGCCTACCAGGTTTGATCTAGAATACTAAACGAAATCTTCTGCATTAAGTAAACTACTGAACACGTACATTATGTGAAATATTCAGCCGTTACATAATATTTTAATATTATTAATTTTTAGTAGGTGAAAATATGTATATACGTGTATATTACACAAATAATATAATTTGTTTAAATATGATATCGTTCCATATAACTGAAAAGTTCATATGAAACGAGAGTATTTAATACATACATGTTCAGCCTAATATCCAGAGTGAGTCTTAAGATTTTGGAGATTCGAGAGCAAAATGAGCGAAGGGTAATCAAACCTAAAAACTCGAGTACAAAAGTAATATTTTTTAACCATTTAAACTATAAATCCGTTGCATTTCTCGAGAGTTATTACAAGAAAAATATCTGAAGACATGCATGTGTGAACTATAAATTATTAACAGTGACAATTCAACGACAGATCCTTAAATAACACTTCAAAGTCCCAAAGAAAAGGGGAATACAAATAGTGCACGTAAAATGCTAGCCAAGCACATAGCTTGCAGCTCTGGTCCACATGGAAGGACGAAAGAGGTCATGAGGAGCAAGTGGGGCCGGCCCCCCGGGCTCACCCTGTGGCATTAATTCAGTCATATAAAAAAGGAGAGATTTATTTGAAGCCAGAGAGGCTTGTAAGAAAGAAACTTGGAGAAATAGGCTTGCTTGGCTTGTTTCATTTCATTTCCCATTTTCAATTCCAAGGCCACCCAAAAACCAGAGAGGAAGCAAAGAGGAGACACAGAGCTCGAACACAAAAAAGGTAAATTTTCCAACTTTCTTGTAAAAGAACCATTATTTTAGATCTGGGTCAGCATAATAAATACTCAATTCATTGATATTTTTCATTTCGGATTTTGTTTTTCCTTGAACTTCTCAATTCCATTTTGCCCAGGTTTTCTTCCCATTTTCTCTTTTTTACTTTACCATTAGATTTTTTTATATTCCATAACATCTCTTCCCATTTCTTTTCAATTATTTCTGAATTTCAGGTGGGTTTGTTGTTTAGATTCAGAATGAAATTTTGTATTTGGAATTTTCTCAACGATTCTCTTGAATCTTTGGTTCTCCATGCAGCATTAATTTCTCGATGGGCTTAGAATTTGCATCCCTTAATTTCACAGAATTGTCTTATTGCTGAACCAAGTGAATAACTTTTCAATGATTTTCCTTTGCACCGCCTCTTCACAGTTTCCAAATAATATACTTCCCAAATTCTCTTTATTATTTGCATTTTTTTCTTTTGGACATATTTTTGGTGTATTTTGGTATTTTCAAGCTCTAGATTTGTTTAGTGTTTTTCATTTATCTTGTATTTCTGTGAAGTTTAAATCTCACGTTAGAGGAAGAAAACCAATGTGAATTTTGTATGAAGTAGACAAAAATATATTGCAATTGTTCTGCTATGTTGATTTCTGATTTTCTTTGTGCCATTGTGGTTTCAGGTTTTGTGTCTCCTCTTACTGAGAAAGTAGAGCTGAGAGAAAATATAAAGCAGAGGAAAAAGTGTGGCAACATGGAATATGAAACTAACAATTGGATTTGGGATGGAATGTACAATCACCCTCATGTATTTGGTGGTCTAATGCTCACGGCTGCCTTACTCGGCTTGTCCACCAGCTATTTTGGTGGAATCACAGTTCCTCAGTTGCCTTATTTATGGTCTGATTCTGGGATTTTCCATAAGAAGAAATGTGAGAAGAAGCGCATTCGTGTTTACATGGATGGGTGTTTCGATCTCATGCATTATGGCCACGCCAATGCCTTGAGGCAAGCCAAGGCTTTGGGAGATGAGTTGGTGGTGGGTGTTGTTAGTGATGAGGAGATCATTGCCAATAAAGGTCCACCTGTTTTATCCATGGAAGAGAGGTTAGTGTTTATGCACATAAATATCAACGATAACACACTCATTCTCAAGAACACATGTTTATATTGGAATGCCAAAACATTCCTATGTGAGTTCGAGTTGGACCTTTTGTTACTTATTTACTAACTTAAGTTACAGATTATGTTGTTATAAATGGATATGAAGCAGTTTATCCACATATTTTGCAGAGTTAGTTTCCTTAATAGTGTTATTCAGCAACCTTGGAATTAGAATGAACTATTTGGTCCATCCATACTTTGTATTGTTCCAATAGAAACTCTTGCGACTGTTGTATAATCTCCTGCTGCACAATTTAGTTGGCCTTTGATAAAATTTAATAAGATCGTTGTATGCAATACATACAACTAGTTATTCTTATCTAATTTGAAGTTCTTTCTAGACTGGTTCTTGTTAGTGGGTTGAAGTGGGTAGATGAAGTCATACCGAAAGCTCCATATGAAATTACTGAGCAATTCATGAGCAGACTCTTCAATGAGCATAAGATTGACTATATCATACATGGTGATGATCCTTGCCTGCTGCCAGATGGAACTGATGCTTATGCCTTGGCAAAAAAAGCTGGCCGCTACAAGCAGATTAAACGAACTGAAGGTGTCTCCAGCACAGATATTGTAGGTACTATGATTCTCTTTATCTCCCTCAGACTGCTTTTGTTATTATGAAATTCCACTTGTGACTTCTATTACGGTCAAGCTTGCTAGAAGTGAAGACATTTGATCAACGATCTGCCTAGACGTCTAAAAAATTGCATACCGAAAACATTTTCTTATTTTAAGTTGGTCTAACAATAATCATGTAGGGAGGATACTCTCTTCTTTAAGGGATACAAATGGTGGTGAAGATCAAAACAAAACATCCATGTTTAAAACCCCAGAAAGTCAACCGAAGAGTGCCCATTTATCTCAGTTTCTACCAACATCTCGACGGATTGTGCAATTCTCTAATGGAAAGGTTTGCCTCACATGCTATCTTGGCACCTTTAATTTTAACTTGTTTTTCAAAAGTAATTAGTATTTCATATCTTACAATGCTCCTCTTGAGGATCTTGTGCTCCAATGCATCTAGTGACATTTGAGAATAAGTATCTTTGAAAATGAACAAACAGACCTCTTTTTGGTACATGTAAAGACCAAGAAGTCACCCTGTAATTCCCATTTCTTGGATAACATAGTAAATCACTTTTCACCGTAGCTTGGAATTGAGGTTTCATTTTCTTTCGTATATATTTTATTTTGTAGAGATAAAATAGGAAGGGTAAAATTTGCTTTTTGTTTTTTTGGGCATAATGTGTTTTTTGATTCTCCATGATGAGACCTTCCATATTCTCAGGGACCTGGACCAAATGCTCGTGTTGTGTACATTGATGGGGCATTTGATCTCTTTCATGCTGGACATGTTGAGGTACAACTATATTTATGAGTTACTCTTGCAAACATTTACTCTCTTTTTTTAATGGTTTCAAGTTGAATCTTTGTAGTACATTTTCCTATTTTGCATCTAGTTTCAAAGTTGTAGGTGTACCTAGGAGTGACCATTTTTTTACCTTATCCTAGATGTTTTCTGGCTCCAATATAAACTCAAAGTAGTTTATAAATAGCCTTCATGATGGTCTTTTGTTATAATGCACTCCAATGTTTTCAAAGGCATGCGTAGGCGCGCGTTAGAGCGCGCATCGGAGCGAGGCAGTAGCAAATTGCCTCAGGCGTCTGCTTGTTTAGCCGTTTGCACGCTTAGCGTGCGCGTCAACTGCAAAGCGTACAGAGGCGTTGTGAAGCGCCGCTTTGTTGGTCGGCGAAGCGCATCTGCGCAAGGAAGAAGATGACAGCGTGTATCTTTTTTAGGTTTTTTTTTCAATGGAACGGCGTCGTTGCAAAGTCCAAAACTAAGTTGAACGCATTGTTTTGATTTTAACGCACCCCCTTTAAAAGGAGCGTGCGTTTGATAAGCACCCAAATCATTTTTTAGTTTTAATTTTTTTTAGTAATATATTTAACATACAGACCTATATCTAACGCTCTTTTTTTGGGCCTGACATATATCCCTAACGCGATACTTCCCTTTTTTTGAATTATTATTATTATTATTTATTTTTCCCTTCTAAATAAATACATTAATGGACCTATGTATATCCCTAATGCGATAATCTGTATTAATTTTAATTCTCTCCCTAAGTTGAATCCTCTCTTTCCTTTGGTATGCAATTCTCTTTGTGCTAGATTCATATATATATATATATATATATATATATATATATATATGTTTTTGTTTTCCAAACAACACAATATCCATAAAACCCACTAAAAATAACACTCAAGTCTACACATAAATGCTAAATATCATAGCATTAGATGTTTCGTGATGAGGAGTGGGATGCATGAATTGAGTCATTCTTTTGATATTGAATAAGTATTTTATGTTTTGGAATTGATTATTACGCATGAATGACAATTAGTACTTATATTTGATAGAATATTTTGGCTCAATAAGAATTAGTAGTACAATTTATCTATATTGTATTATTTATATATATTTTTTATTAAATTAAATTAATGTTCAAAAGGCTTACGCCTCACTGCTTCAAGGCTTACGCCTCGCATAGCAGACTAAAAATGCCTCATCTCTACGCCTCGCCTTTTAAAACATTGATGCACTCTAAGGTGACATGTCCTTATCTTCAATCTGGTATTGCTCTAGCACTCACCATCTTTCATGATTTAGTGCCATTGCTTTAAGAGAGAAATAGATTCTACCATTGCATTAATATATGAAATGCTGTTGTGGATCGTTATATTAGTCTGCTAATTATTAGTTGTAAGGGTACCCATTGAAGCCTGTGGGTTAAGTTTGACCTTCTGGCAACACATAAGGTGTATGCTGTATCTGAACAGCTGAATGTTGCCAGGTGACATTCATAATGACTCCGGTTTGGTAATTCCATACTGTGGAGTTTTCATTACAGCATTCTCCCTTTTCTATATGAAGAGCTGTAAAATCGCTTTCTCATCATTTATTATATGAAGGCCATATTTCATTTGTGGGTGCTTGCTCAGATCCTCAAGAATGCTAGGCAGCTTGGAGACTTTCTACTCGTTGGCATCCACAATGACGAAACTGTGAGGTATGTCCATTTTCTTGAGTTGACATCAATTCATTCATTGGTATGCTTACACCTTGAAAATTTTATTCTCTTTCTATCTTTATACTTAGAAGATGAGTATAAATTTTTTATCTTCCTGTCTACCTTGGTCAAAAAGCGTAAACTTGTAAAAGGATGAAAAATTAATTAAAATTTTCTTACTTTCAGTGAACACAGAGGGCACCATCCAATTATGCATTTACACGAACGTAGTCTTAGTGTATTGGGTTGCCGTTATGTTGATGAGGTCATCATTGGTGCTCCTTGGGAAGTTACCATGGACATGGTGAGTAAATGTATCAGATTATCTTTTTATTGTGTACCAAGTCATTGTATTTTATCACCCTATCATCTTTCACTCCCCCGATCCCTCTCTTTTGCATACACATTGTTGACTCATTGCATTTTGTTAATAGTGTAATCTTTCTGATGCAATGCCTGATTTAGATGTTTTAATCACTGTATCTGAGGTTTATATTCTTGCATTTTTCAGGTAACGACTTTCAACATTTCATTGGTTGTGCACGGGACAGTTTCCGAGTACAACTCCTTGTTTACTGTAAGTTGATGGATCTTTTTTCAAAATTGATCACTATTGAACTTTGTTGTTTACAGCTGAGACTTGGTTTATTGAATGGGATTATTTTATGGTGCAGGGTGAAAGTGATCCTTATTCAGTTCCCAAGAGCATGGGGATTTTCAAATTACTTGAAAGCCCCAAAAATATAACAACAACATCAGTATCACAGAGGATAATTGCAAATCATGATGCTTACATGGTAACTTAAAAATCTTTATCTGTCGTTTTGATTGTAATTTGTATGCACTACAAATGTCAAGAGATATATACGAAACCATATTTAATAACTTTTATACAAGAAAAGTGGCCATCTTTGTTTGTGTTGGGTTAAATCCTATATCATGATTATAAGGAGTTCTGGCATGTTCTCTTGAGATTATCTTATTTGGTGTTAATCTTTAAACCAGTATAGCCTTTCTTAATAAAGCTCATTAACGTATTGCACCTCTTTTAGTGATGTGTTTTAACACGTCTTGACCATATCTTTTGCATGTGCAAAAAGTCTTATTTCTTAAGTTCTGATAGAGTTCTTCCTCCTGTTGTCTTTGATGCAGAAACGCAATGCGAAAAAGGCAGAGAGCGAAAAGAAATACTATGCACAGAAGACATATGTCTCAGGAGACTAGCTCTTCTATAGTTCTCTTATGAGTTAAAATAGTGAAGTCGATCGGCAGTCATTGAAGAGCTACGTGTTGTTCAGGCCATAGGAACTGCCATTTTGCTAGAAGGACAAGAAGAGAATAGAGGGGAACGACATAGAAGGATACCCCCATCAGACTTCTACATAGCCTTTATTTTTCCCATTTCCATGTATCTCTGTTAGAATATAGATGAGAATCTCCTCAATAATGTATTAACCTCGTCAAACTCCCTGTGCATATTTATAATCAATTTATTTGGGTGTTTACACTTATCCCATTTTTTATACCATTGTTCTCATAGTTTTGATTCATAAAGTTATGCTGTGTAAACAAATGTAACTGTCCTCTAGAGAGATTTGATCTGTGTTTATTTATTTATTTATTTATTTATTTTTATAAAAGCAATATTGGGAAGAGTGAAATTGAACCTAAGACCTTGGTGCAGGGGTAAACGCTCTTTACCAATTCAGCTACAAGGCCCTTGCTTAGAGAGATTTTATCTTAAACCTCCTCTGATGAAGTAAAAACTCGGAGTCACTAGAGAGATTTGATCTTAAAATCTCCTCGGACAAAGTAAAGACTTGATCTTAAAATCTCCTCCGATGAAGTAAAAACTCAGGGTCAAGATGCGATCTAGAATCAGGCTTTATCTTAGAATCTCCTCCGACGAAGTAAAAACTAGGGGTCACCAGAGAGATTTGATCTTAGAATCTCCCTTTCCGAAGTAAAAATTAGAGATCACTAGAAAACATTGTTATTAGCTGAGTAACATATTAAGTAAACCATATTGGACCGAGTTAAACAGAACTGGACAAATACCGAATTGTATTAACTGAACTGCGTATTTTGTGTATAGTTTTTAAGATTCTAAACTAAATTGATTTCTATGAAATTTAGGACTCTTCCTTACGATTTAGAGATCATGCAATCCTTTGCACAGCACAGTACAGTTTAAGCCCTTGTGCCCATGACGAACAAAACTAAGGCCTAGAGATCACATAATTCTTTGCACAGCACACCTCATCGGTGGCTCGGCTTGGACTGAATTTGAGTTGAGTTCAAGATAGTTCTTATGAAAGCCAAAACTAAGCCCTAGAGTCTATCTATTCCGAAGCAACTCCAAACCAGATTATTAATCTTTAGAACTGGATCATTAAAGCCATAATACACGCAAATCATTCTTTTACAAGTTCCTACACTGCAATTATTAACATTACAACACTATTTTTTAGGTGTTTCAACAGATTGCTGTGAGCAAAAACACCTCTATATATAAATATAACCTAGTTGAAAATACTACAATAAAAAGAATGAGGCACCCTCCAAATTTCCAACCCAGAAACCCTGTGCCTTTGGGTCTCATTGCAGCCATGTGATGGGTGTGGTTGTGTTGTGTGGAGGCTGTGGAATCATACAATGCTGTTGCTGCCACTGAGGAAAGCCTTCATTACTTGTCCACATCCCACCACCATACCCATCTGCCATGGCTTGCCCTGCTGCTGGGCTCTCTTCTTCAATCTCCATTGTTGCTGTTTCCATCCCCTCAGCCTCCATCAGCTCCTCTGGAGGGTCTGCTTGTGAAACCTCCATTGATGGTGCAGGAGATAGATGACTGGGAACCCAAGGAACAACAGCTTTACACTGATTGCTGTTGCTTTGCACTGCCTCATCATCTTCCTCAGCTGACGATCTCAGACCAAAATGGCTGGAGCGCAGAAATTGGTCTGCAAAACCAAATAACCCATATCATCAATTACTGAAATCATTCAAAACAAATAAAACCAAATGGGTAATTGCCAAACATACCCTTAAAGCCAGAAATCAAGTCAGAACGGAGAGAGAAGACTGGGGTATTGTTGACAGGCCTGAAGAGCACAATGGCCTTTTCTTGGTTTTCTGAGGGCAATCCCTCAATAATTGGAGCCTCTGATTTCAGCTGATTCTGAGCAGCTGAAAATGAAAACTCAGCCTCCTCTTCCTCCATAATGGGTGGCAGATGAGCATCCTATATCATCAATAATGACACAGAAAATACTGACTTATAACAATGAACAGAATTGGGAAGAGAAGCCTGAAAGAGAAGTAGAGAAGCAGAAAAGATTGAAACTTTTGCATACCAGGCGGCGAATCTTTCTGGCAGGGGAAGAAAGAGAGAAGTCGGAGAAGTCATCGTTGACTTGGTCAAGCTCCTCCACCTCCTTCCTCTTCTTCTTCATCGTCTTCATCTGCATTCCTTCTGAGACAAAGTGGTCTTCCATGGATGATTTTTGCACTGCGTTTGTGATCCTAAAGAATTATGAAAATTGGGATGCTGCTGATTTTTGACTGTTTTAGGATTTAACTTGATTGGATTGGTGGAGAGTGGAAAGAGACAACCTGAAAGTCTGGAGCTTTGGGTGGGGTTAGGAGTATGTCTCTGTAAAAGGCAGGAAGGAGGAGAGGTTTCTGTGGGTCTCTAGATTTCTCCAGAAGCCAAATCATCCATCTGGCCTGTGGGCATGGCCCATGGGCCGTAAGTATCTTCTATTTACTAAGATTCTAATTAAGATTTTCAACAGTTTTACACCATGAATTATGACCCTAATCGAATTTAACCTATGAATTAATTGTACTCGAACTCATTAAAACAACCAATTTACTCGTTTGGTACATCATATTAGACTCTGAATATGAGTAAATAGTCTATGTCAGGAGTTTGGTATCAACTTATATTATTTAATTACCTGACTATTTTATACAAGTTGGGTTCTTAATACTCTTCTTACCGAACTAACTAATACAACTCACACACCCCAGTTTAGATGATACACACTTAATTATACAGTTAGGGAAAAAGAACATACAAGTTCACGTGAAAAATCATTTTCATTTTATTCTCCCTAGGGTTCTTCTCTACTATCTTCTCAAAGGTTATTCTCTTCAATATTCTCCATGTATCCATCTCTCTCTCTCTCTCTCTCTCTCTCCCTCCAATATGCTTCTTCTCTCTTCTTCTTTCTTCATCTTCTCTTCCTTTATATATTTCTTTTTTATTAAATTTTTGTGGAAATTAGGTTATGAGTTTTTCATTTTTGACTCTTTTTTTTGGCTATATTGGAACAATAAATGTGATTGTGTATCCAACTCAATAATCAAATAATCATCACTTTTTAAGGCTTATTATATATAACCTCATTCAAAAGGCCCGACATGTTTAAAAAACCTCACTTCTACTCAATAATAAATGTGTTTAAGTTCTAAAGATGTCAACAAATGGAACCAATGTGTGAGAAAACCTCACGAAATTTGTTATGTTAGAAATGCCCAATTTTAAAAAATTTAATTAGAATTGTCACGTCGTGAGTAACTTGTACATGTACATGCAATAAAAATAAATAAAGTTTTTTTTATGCGATAAAAAATTAAGCTTCAAACTCAACTTCGTTTGCTCTTCTCATTATAAAAAGGTCAAACAACATAAAATGTACATCTTTAAAGGTTAGATAAACTAGGACACAAACTCAATAGCTTCAAAATTTCCTATGTCTTTCTCACTCTTCTCCAACCCCTTCGTCTCTTTCACATTGCTCCATTGGCAGCACCCGTAACTCTCCCACTACTTGTGACTCTTGGGCTGTTATACGGTGGTCGATTTTAGGAGAGCTTGGAATGAAGTGGTCGGTTTTAGGAAAGCTTAGATTGGAGTGGTCGATTTCATAGGATGAGCCTACCTTAATGTGCTCTATGGTCTCTCCAACACCACCAAGCCAGAGACAGAAGTGGGTGGAACTGTATGAGTGTTGCCACTTATTACTTTGCTAACCATCTCTATAATATATATGGATCCCAATAAATCCTAAACTTTTTGGTTTGACTGCAAGAGGTGTCAAAAGGTCGTGTCGGGCAGGCCCGACCCATTTTAAGACGGCCTATTTAATAAACAAGTTAGGCTAAATCCGTCCATTTATGAAAATCATTAAGTCCGGTCCCAACTCAAATGGGACTAGGCCGGACTCGTTCTGGGCCATTAAATGGGCCGATATGGGCCCACCTTAAGCTCAACTTATGTATTGCATTATTTTTTTGGGACATTTTGGAAAAAGCAAAAGGAGAGAGAAATTTTTTAAAAGAAGCAAAAATGGACAAAAATGCCCTTATTTATTTTTAGATTTCCTAAGGAATCTAATACATTTGCATGTCTTTAATTTGAAAGTTAAGCGATTTTTTTTGTCTTTTTTGAAAAAGCTTTGGCTTTTTCCAAAAGTGAAATTTTTTTTATGTCTAAAACCTAAAAAACCTTATTTTTTTTATCAATTTTATTTCAATCTTTTTTACAATTATATATATACTATTATGTGTTGTAAAAATAAGATTATTATTTGTTGGAAAAATAAGTGAATGACTTTATTTGAATTACATTCAAAATAAAAAAGGGCTAGAATATTATTCAGGTTAAAAAAATTATTATTTTATTTATAAAGAGAATATTGAATTTTGAAATATATTATTAGATAAAAGAAATAGACTTGAATTTAAAATATAAATACAATAATATCTCTAAAATAAATATAATTTAATAAATGGGCTTTAAACTGGCCAACATGACCCACGACGAGCCTCGCGCTAGCCTAACCCATTGTGCTGAATAACCTTGTCTCAGCCTACCTAAAAATACAAGCTGTACCGTCTCGAACCTTACTTAATCGGGCCAAACTTCTGCTGAATAACCTTGTCCCAACCTGCCTAAGAATACAGAACAATGAATCTTCTGAAAAAATATATATATATATATATATATATACTTTGGTTGGTTTTGAGTGCTCAACTTAGTTCGCCTTTCTTTTGCAAATATAAGATAATTACTTTACTTCAAATTAATTGACTGCATTGGAAATTACAGAAATATTGTGGCTCAAATCACACAATGTCCAACAGTTGTGCGATGTGAGAATGTGAATTGAAAAATGTCCCATATTAGAAAGTTAAACAAATTTAGCAAGGGCTTATAAGGAGTTGAGTTACTCTCCCATAGTCAATTGGTTTTGGGGTGGAACCTCAACTTCCTTCACCCGATACCAAACATTATTTCCCCTTGTTTTTCTCCCAGCATGTTTGTTATACTTGAGATTGATATTGCCGACACATTTGTTAACATGCTTTAAGTTATTTTTAATTCTTATCAATACAATTTCTTAACTTCTATAAGGCTACAAAGTAAATTAGATGTCATGATATTATAATTGATTATTATTGAGAAAATGTCCTCATCTAATATCTGAGGGTTAGTGAAGTTTGGCAAGATTTTGCCTTAGTTGAACTATATGTTAAACTACACATAATATATTGAATTTCATATACCACGGTACAACGACATGTTATAAGCATCAAATTCGATCATTGGTCCTATAAAATTAAAACAAAAAGGGATCATGCATGCTTGGGTTTAATTGGATTTTAAGTTTTAGCTCACCTTAATTCTTGGATACGAAATTGATCAACAATTTGTTCATCAATCCAGTCCGTCGTTAAATTCATGCGTCATCACAAAAATGAGGGCAATAGCCACTAAATATTCATTGACTGTTAAATTGAATTTCATGGCTTATGTGGCAATTTGATACTTATGAAAAAATTTACTTTTGACATCTCTTTTCCCGTCTTCAAATTCATGTAGGATTTAACTACTCGGTTGGAGTAACTTTAACCTTTTATTATTGTTATTTCATATCGACGTGGCAAATTTAATGTCTATGTGGCAATTTAACATCTCCATAATGACCAATTTACTTTTCATGCTTTTGATGAGTGGGATTGATTTACTCTTTACCAAATCAAATAAAATAGAAAATATTCTATTTATTACTTTGCAAATAACAAATGAAAGCAATGCCATTATGCCAGTGATCCACCTACACAAAGGACTTAGATAACTTCCTTACAGCAGCTGAGTGTAACATGGCATTCAAACCAGAAAAAACCGGGCTGATAAAAAATCAGACTGAGTTGACTATAAATTAAAGCGGACCAATTTGGTTTGGTTCCAGTTCTAATTCTCGTAGTGAAAAAACCGAATGGGGCCTAATTAGAGCGGCTGTGTATTTTTTAAAAGTTTTTAATAAAAATATTTAAACCTAATACTAAATTTCTAAGCTTATAACTAATCTTTCCTCAAGCCCAAATCGAAATCACCTCTCTTTTCTTGGCACAATCACCTCTTATTTGAAATTTGAAATTTGGCCATTTGTGAATTTTTAAGCCCAAAAAAAAAATGTTGGGTTCTGTGAAAAAATAATAATTTAATTCAAACAAATTTATATATATCCGGTCCAACACCAGAAAGCAACCCAACTTATGAGCAAACCAGACTGGATGAATAGTTCTGATTCCGATTTGGGGTGAGAACTAGACTATGCCCACCTAGTATAAATTCACATTGGCCAAATCATTCACTCATAGTGAACACCAAATAATAACTTTACTCACACGGAGAAAATCATTGAAACAAACAAACAATTTGAAGAAAATAAGATTGTAATGTGAAAATTAAACACAATTTCTTAATATTTGAGCTGCCACATCATACTGAAATTTACAAGATGTGAACAATAATTGTTTATCTTTATTTTTTTCTGACGTGTCAGAAATCTGAGCATGATTTCCCCCCAAATTACAACTTCACAAAACTTTCCTCTTCCAACAGTATTTTGTGAACTACTTTCCACAAAATCTCTTCTACTTGCAACTATTTACTGCCTTTTTGTCATTTGTTTGACTCGGTTCATAATACAAGGCTATAAATATGCACTAATTTATTTTGTGGTTATATCTTCAAGGCATATGGGTTCTGCACCTGTGCTTTTAAGCTAAGGATCGACGGGAGAGAGAAATAGGATGATTGAAGAATAACTTAGCATAGGATATAAATTGGCATCAAGAAAGTGAGCGTACTGTTTAACTGCAATATCTCTTCCTGGGAGGTCACTAGAAAGAAAGTCAAATGGAGCAGGCTTGCTGGTGTCTACCAAGGGATCCCATCTGTATCCAGGCCTCTCTGGCAGTGTAATAGTTGCGGGTAAATGGCTGGCATTGAAAGCAATATACAGCTCTCTCTTCACTGAGTCCATCTGGATCAACACGTAGTGTCGTCACATACCAGTAAAATAGTAAACTTCAAAATTACACCCCCAAAACTCAAAACAAACCAATGAGATCCAAAAGGGAAACTATTAATCTCAATAATAACAAAAACCTGTTACTCCTATGATGCCCATGCTGCTAAACGTGGCAATTTCTTAGACAAGGTTTGCATGTGAGTATAAATACTATTCATTATCCAGCCTAATTCGTAGATTGTCTCAACCATACATTTAAACAAGAATTCAACTTATCGATGGTCTAGGTTCATAGTATACATATATTTATGACTGTACCTATATAGAATGGTGATCTAATGAAGACTTAAGTTGAGGGCCTATTTATGAAGGCATAGTGGGGTCGTGGAAATGTGAAATCTTCCATTTATATCCATTTCACCAATAAACGAGATATATTAATTAAGATTTGATTCTAAATTGCATTAGTGAGATTGGTTAATACCAGAGTAAAGGCAACAAAGCGGCTTCTTTCAGACCAGTCTGGTACCCCAGGAGCATGACCATGCCACTGCAGCCTCTCTGCTGTTGGGAAGTCATTTAAGCCCAGTGACTCGCTTTCCCTGCATAACTCAAATTAAATAAGAAGATACAAACGTCTGTCAGAAAGCAAAGTATAAATGATTGCAATCATGATACAGATGCTTACTGGCGGAATTTGGTCATAAGGCAGCAAAATCTGAAAAAGTCCAATGAGGACTCTTCCTTCTTATCCCACCGAAAGTAATTAATCTGCAGCACAGCAACAACCATAATAAATAAAGAAAAGGGTTTGACAGAAAGAGTATGGACAAAGGTGTAGAAAAATACATAATTATCATGGCAATATGTGTTGTTGTTTCCTCCTTTTGTATGACCATATTCATCACCCATATATATCATTGGAACGCCCTTGTAAATAACAGATAAAATGAAATATGTTAGTCAGTAAGCAGACAAAAAGTAAATGCAATCCTCAGCATAATCTATCTAGAAAGTGCTGCGTTTAAACAATATATGCAGGGAAATATAGAATTGTGCTCCAGAAACTACATGATGCAAAATCAAGTTTAATGAACAATTTAGGCTCTCTTGTTATCTTTAGAATGAGAATTCAAAAGGATCCATTCGACACTGTAGGGGTAGTACGAATTGCCCTTATTTTGTTGCACTGAATGAAAGCACACTAACTCTAATGCTATACTATTTAGGTGTCCATGAACTTTGTAGATGCCCATGCCCCTTCCCAGTTAATTGAGAATGTGGGTACAGACATCCTTAAAAACAAAAAAACCTCAGATTTACATTACAAGAAATCAAAGCCAACATAGACATGTTATAATGAGTAAATAGAGGTCATTGTAGTCCAAATGAAGAGTCCCAATATAAAACGCACCGTAATGATAGCATCTTACTTGGGAAACCATGAGGCACACAAAAAAATTCCGCATTTGTCGTCTCCTCAAGTTCTTCACTGAAATGCTCGCGAACTCTCCCTCCTAATTGAGTTAAACTGGATGATAATTAGTGTCATAAAGTAGTACCACATCCATGGAGTACACATCTAAGATACAAGCACAAAGTCTAGCTCTTGACTATGAAGCCCATAGTGCATTCTATCAACAGATTGAACAAATTAATTTCTTCTTAAGTAGCTTTCCAGTAAGATTGTTCCAGGATCTGGTTTTTAAGATAATCCTTTTCATTTGCCAATGGGTCCAGACATAAAGACAAAAGCACCACAGATGTGGGATTTTTGTGTCCCATAAGCTCCTGATAAGCATCTTTTCCTTCTTCATGGGTAATCAAACTATTAAAAGCAGGAATAAGAAAAAATGAAATAGATTTCCCATCAAACAGATTATGAAACAACCGAAAAGTATGGGAAAAAAAGGATGGAATACGGGTGAAAAGAAAGTGAAAGACAAAAAGGGCACAATATATGTCAGAATAAAGCCAGATGATATACTCTAGGCCTTAAGATTTCAGGATGCATGATCATAAGGCTTTCACAGCTGTGGTGACATTATCACAAAGATTAACACGGGCATCAAACAAAAGCTGAATCCAACTATCAGAAAATACATGTTTATCGATATTTACCTGTCCACAGTTCCAGCTATTATTATGACTCTCTCCATCATTGTTGTCTTCTCCATTTGCCAGGTTATGTTTGTTGTTATACGTAACTAAATCAGCTAAAGTAAAACCATCGTGTGCGCAGACAAAATTGATACTATTCCATGGCCTCCTTCCCCCTTCCTGGTCCAAAGATATAATGAGGAGTGTTACTGAGAGAATGAAGAAGAAGAAGAAGCATATACATAGTGTTCTAAATTCCAGGGATAGAATTCTCAAATATTAAATTCAGAAGGCATAACTCTGAATTTCAGACAAATGAGGAACAAAGGGCCTTGCTTACTTTTCAAATATTTTCACATTGAGTAGTTCGGGAACTTTCCTTTCATGCCATAATTTAATATGGAAGGCTTACATCTATTTCTCTACCATCACAACCCCAAAACCCAAATTGTTTACCAAGCCCCAACCCACCACAAAAGCAGTTGTAGGAATCTTACCCAACATGTCATCTATCAACACTGCTCAAAAGCTTGCTTGTGGAGTCAGGATTTAAACAATATGAAGGAAGATAAAAATGAAATGTTTCTCAAGAGAAGAAATGAGGATAGATGAATTGACATAACAGACCACATGAATAGTACATCACATAAGAAGGTCTAATAGTCGTCGTCAACTGAAAGAGACAGGCAAAACTTAAATTACCTGGTATAAATTAGGGCTTCCACAAAGACATTCAGCCAAAGCGCCAGAAAAGCCATCTGTGCCCTTGATAAACTGCCGCACTGTGTCACGATACTGAAAGTTACAGGAATTTACAAATTAAATTTAACTAAAAATCACAGTAAAACAATATGCACGCATAAATGGCTTTATGACTCATCTATAAAGTACACCATGAACACCTGTTAGGTTTCAGGCCTCAACGATTCTAGAGAATAAAGACATCTGACAACAAAGGAGGTTTTAAAGTAAAGCCAAAGTTCCCCTTTCGAATATCAATGCATTTCCTTGCTGGTTAAAGATTTTGATGAGATAGATCAACCAGCAGAAAGTGTGAGATGCTAATGCCAAAAAATAAGAATAATTAGAGATGGTTATGACGATCAAAATCTCTGCATTGGAAGATTGTTTAAGAGTCAATCTGATGAATCAATTCCAGATCGATGAATTCTTAGGTATAGGATACAGAAAAGTCAACTCAGTACTATACATGAAGAGGTGCCAACAACATGAGAAAGAACTGTAAGAGATTCTGACGCATGAAGCTCTCCAGAAATTTCAAGCAGATATAGGAAGAAATCTCTTATTTCTAATTTAATTGCTAAATCTGAAGCAAAGTTATGTGAAACATTGTTTTGAAATCGATAAGCAAGCAAAGTTGTCACTTGTCAGAATCAGAAGGTTGGATTGGACATCCAAAACCCATTAGGGATGTACGCTACAACTTAGGTTTTAATGTTTAATGGCACATCCTTTCCAGCTAATTGTTCAGCAGGTTCTATAACAGCGGGGAAAAGAAGAGTGGGTCAATTAGGATCCCTACACATTTGTGTATTTTGTGTTTTATTCTGTCATCATGTTCTTTATCTCAGTCACTGTGGATAAATCAAAATGATGTATAACAGTGTAACATCTAAACATACCTTCCCATTCCATTCTGACCAAATACCCCAGTGAGGAAACATGCCAACTTGGTATAGGCCTCCTGTATCCCATGCTTCAGCTATAAGCTGTTTGAAAAACAGACAAAGAAAGCTCAACCAGTAAACCTTTTAATACTAGCAGATACCAATAAAAGGTAAATTCATACGCAGGATCGAATCATAGAAACCAGTAAGCTAAGTTCATGTGCAGGATCGCTATAACCAAGCCAAATTCTAGAAACAAGATTACAAATATGACAAGGGAAAGTGTTATGCAAAAATTCAAAACAATTTTAGTAAAACAAAGGAAATGTGACACTCCTGGAAGCACGAAGAAAATTTAAAATATATGTACACGATTTGAGAGTAGCACCAACAGGCACTGTTTCTAGTCTATAAGCATCTCTCAGGAAACAAATTTTATTGCAATAGACAATAAAAAACAGAGATGGCCAAGGTGGCCACAAACTATTTTATGGCATATTAACGATTAATAAGAAAAAAAAATGAGTATGTCACATTAGATTTACTGCTAAGATGCTACTCATTGCATGTAGTCACAAACTTGCTAAAATAATTAATCTAAATTGATTAAGAACGGAATGGATTAAATGGGTTTTTGAAAAACAGACCAAGGTGAGATAAATTCCATATTCCCCTAATGCATTGGCTCTAACAGCCAAAATTAGACATTCACAGGAATAGCCGACTGTATCCAATACTCTATGTTCTACAATGTAGACATTGGGACATTGAGGAAGCTTGAAATGTAATTTTTTTTGGAGCACGTAAATTTAATGTATCAAAGAGGCTACTTCAGTTTCACATGGCCCTTAGAAATTTTAGAAATACTGATAAAGAATATGTAAGCTATATTAAAGAAAGGTCTAAAGTAAGAACCTTCACTCCACGAAGTATTGGGTCATTACTTATCATGTCAACCAATGGTGGGTTAGCAAGAGGGGTTCCAGTTGTCAACAAGTCACCTTCTATTGGAACCCCGTATACATTAGTTGCATCCCAGAGACTGTGGACAAAGAAGCAAAAATAAAAGGAATGAAATGAACACCAATTTCCTGCATAAACTGATTTGGAACACACAGTATCTAGCAGATAACCTGCTACCCCTCGTCATAATAGAAGCAAGATCAAAGCGGAACCCATCCACATGCATCTCTGTTACCCAATATCTGTTGCACAGAAAAGAAAAACAATGACCATTCAACCTTTTGGAATGTTGAAGATGATGGTTGCAATGAAAGAAAATAAATACATGAATAGTTAAAAATAGCCGAAGTCCAAAATTATATATATGAAACCAAAACTATATTAAACTGATCAAAGGAAAACGTTAGAGACACAGTTTCGGAGAAACATGATAGAAGAGAAGATAGATAACAGGCACAACAAGAAGAAAATGAACAAGATTAATTCAGATATAACAGTGGCAAAGCATCACACTGGTCTGGTACCCAATATCTTATCAAAAAAACACTTACAAGCGTAATTTATGGTCTTTCTTAACTCAAGAAGTTTGCATTTATCTGGAACAGTACCCTTTCATTTTATTTTCAAAGGTGCTCCATGGTACTTTTCAGCCTTATACTGCATATGCTAAGTTTAATAACTCTAAACAGCTGACCAACAACAGCCCTTTATATGGCCCAAAAACCCTCCATTCACTTCGTTTAATTGTTTCATCTTTGAACACTAAACATTTATTTCATGAACAACAGAAAGTAGTGCTTGGCTTTCAACAATGCAGATTATCTCCGCAACTGTAAATAGAAATCTTCACACATATCAAATCCACTATCGCATGTTTCAATAGCTGGGAAATTCTATGTGATAAAATCAAGATTGGGCAGTTTGAATGTTCCACCTCAAGCAGTCTACTATAAACTGTCGCACAACAGGATGGTTGCAATTGAATGTGTTACCGCATCCTGAATAGTTATAGAACTCTCCCTGTTAAAAAGAAAAAAGGGGAAATAGATTTAGGTCCCAGAATCTGTATAAAGAGACATCGAATCAGAAAATATGGCATGAGAAAAATGTGATAGAATTTTTCAGTTTACAATGCAGACTCTTGTTGTGTCTGTTTTAGTAGATATTTTTGGAATATGATTATAAACAAAATGCAACAGCACTGTAATGTTCTGCTACTTCATTTCGGAATGACCACTCAATAGCTACAAAATTCATGAAAAGAAACATGGTGTGCAAAATCAATCATAAGGGGATAAGTAGGATACTGATAAAATTGAATGAGCTACCATGGACAGAGAGGTGCCAAATCGGCCCACCACATGAGCAAATAGATTAAAAGGGCATGCCATGGTAAAAATGGAATCTTATTTCAGGTTTCTACCGGATGTTATAATTGGTGAGACTGGTAAAACACTTGCAGTTTAAACCAATTTACTCGAAGCAATAAGGTGAACATCATTCCCTTAACAAATACTTTCAAACTATAACTTTCTGAAAGATTAAAAAGTAGTATCAAAGTAGTATCAAGTCAAAGCGTACAAGACAAGTGTACTGATTTCAGATTTATACCTTAGGTGCAAGCATATAATAGATACTATTATCAGCGCCTCTAAAAGACAAAATTGGACCATTTTCATTCCCTTCAGCTGTGTGATTGAAGACAACATCCATGATCACCTGCATTAATAGAACTATCTTACAAATCTTCAAAATGAAATCTCAATGAAAGAATTCTGAATAATATTACTATTAGCTATCACCTCAATTCCACGTTTATGTGCTTCTTTAATAAGAAACTTGACTTCATTTATTGCATCACGGCCACAATTACGTATGCCAGCAGATGAATATCTTATCATTGGTGAAAAGTAATTGACAGTTGAGTATCCCCAAAAATTTACCCTGGCAACACATGAAAATTGATTTATACAATAAATAGACTGCAATGCACCAAGATCTTTTGCTCCAGATTCTAAGAAGTCCAAAGTTGAAAATGTTACGCCCCATTTTGAATTGCTTTTTAACACAGTGCATGTGCTCTTATTTTGAAAAAGCACCCATTAGTTGATTAATACCCTATAAAGTTAGCTTCTATAAATTTTGCTTTCATTAGATTCATAAGTATTGTACTTGTAGTCACCCAAGACAGAATTGTAGCCGAAGTACTCCAGCTCATTGAACTCATGACATGGCATTAACTCTATACAGTTGATCCCAAGCTCCTGAAAAATGAACAGAACCTAATAAGAACATCCAGAAATCAACATGTATCATATTATTTTATGATCATCACAATGAAACTGCTGGAGTTGATAATACATAACTTGGTGGTTAAACACTTAAATAACATGTATGTAGTAAATAAGATCATTCCTCTTTATCCTCACATACATGACATGATGATTCTTCTTTAGTTGGGAATACATATATACCACCTGTTATATGATGAAATAAATATCCCTAGGAAGCCTTTTGCACTTTTTTTTTCTTTTCTAGAAGCTCTCTGAACTGACCTTTAAGTGATCAAGCTTCTCCACCAAACCAAGGTATGTACCAGGCAATTCAGCCATGCTTGACTCATGCCTTGTGAACCCTCGCACATGGATTTCATATATGATAAGATCTTTTTGTGGATACTTCAGTGGTAAATCTCCTTCCCAGTCAAACTGAAATCAAATGGAAGAAACAGTGTTGGAAAATATTCATCATAGAAAAGAAATGCAATATGATTCATTGGCAAACTTTTATGTTGTTTAAGAATAACTCTCTTGAACTGACTTTCCCCAAAGATTTTCATGGGAGTGAAAATACAAGTCATAGGTTTAAATTGACATTGTTATTTATACATTGTATAAGAAAAAGTTTAGAGAAAAAAGAAAAAAAAAGAAAGAGAGAATAATGGAAAATCTGAAGCAAGGGATAAAAGTGAAACCAGGTGTGAGCTGTTACCAAATTAGAATTAAGACAGAACATATGAGCACTGTACCTCATCATCAAAAGAAGGTACCGTGCCGGCCATTTGAGGCCAGCAATTACCATCAGGACTTAGCTTCCCATATTCCCCTCTGCGTATAACTGCCTAAACAAATTTAAAACATAAAATGAAGTCTGAGTCTTCATAGGTTAAAACCAAAAACGAGTTATCCATAGGAAGCAAAAAAGTTTATTATTTTACAACGGGGAAAACAAGCCGCACAACTCAAATGAATTTATGAATAAAAGATGCACTGCCACTCATTGAGGTCAATCACCTTTGCATAAGGATCCAACACAATCTTAGAAGAGTCATAGTAAAGTCCCTCTTCAGGAGAAAACTTCCCTTTGAATTTATATCCGTAAAGTGTATCTTTGAAATCTCCCTTCAGAAACACATGCCACACATTTCCAGTCTTGTTGGTCAAAGGATCAAGAGATAACTGCTCAGTAACTTTATCCTACATCAATAAATATCAATGATTAATTAACAAGGTACATAACACAAATTAAGAAACTCAACAACCCAGAAGTTTCAATTTCAGTTCAGTTAAGTGTAAAACTCAAAACACAAATGCACAGCCACTAAAAAGCAATCTTTTGGGATTTTAGCAATGACAAATAAGTTTTCATAACAAATGATTACAACAGTATGAGAAATTGGCAACAAATTTTCAATTGAATTCATGATTACCTCCTCTAAATCGGAGAGAGTAATCAAACAGAGAGTAACCGAAACCGCATTGACGGAATAAACAGCGAAGTTAACCCCACCATCGCGCGTTGTGGCACCGAACGGGCTCGGATGACCCTGGGACACCTGAAAACGACGCAGTTTTGGCCTGTCGACGACCGCAGTCTCCACCACATCAGTCCCTGCCCCTCCATTACTTGCCTTCACCACCAACACCGGAGTCTCATTGCCAAACCCTCGCATCCGCCAATTCAGACTCTTCTTCTTCTGATTCGACTTTTGGCGCCTTCCATTGGAAAAAGCAATGCGTTGGGGGTTTTGGTGAAGAAGATGATGGAGCTTGGGAGCAGTGGACCATGTGCTGCAATTCGTTAGCTGATGCTGCTGCTGCTCCATTGGTTCATGAGTGAGAGTGAGAGAGAGAGCGAGAGTGAGAGTGAAGAGTGAAGAGTGAAGAGTGAGAGTGAGGAAGTCTTGACCCTCTTTGTTTGGTTTGGATGGTAGAGAGAGTTAATTTGAGCATTTGGAAGCATATTTGATTTGTTATATCGGCTATTTTCGATCGCGAATCGGAAATATCTGAGTAGACCAGCACCACGAAAGTTAAGGGTTCGGATTAAGGTGGACACAGTCCAGATTGGATCGGTTAACTGTTTTTTGTTGTCGAAGAGGCTCGTACTCAAGTGTGCTTGCACCCAAAGTCTGTGTTTGAATTCCCCTCCACCAATATCAAAAAATAAAATAAAAAAACTGTTTGGTCCGGTTGGGTTTTAGCAAAATTAATTGAGGAAACCAAACCAAATTAATGTTTCACGGTTTGATTCAGGCGTTTTGAGTCAAGCCTAATCCGTTTTTATTTGCATTTTTTCAATTTTATTAGCCTGAGTGCTGGTTTGCATTACTTATTTGGGGTGATAAATGATTTTTAAATAATTTTGGGAAGCTTAGTGGTAAACTATGAAAAAATTATTTATTGTTAAAAATTACTGTGAGAGAAAGCTATAAGGGAAATCATCTAATGAAGTGCTTTGATTTTTTGATTATGCAGGAACCAATTTCGAAGAGGCGTTGGGTTTAATGATTATGCAGCAATCATTTTCTGATTATGCTAGAATCAATACCAACAACACTTTTAACAAAAAGTTTACCAAACTTCAAACTGCTTTCTCTCACAGCTGATTTCTCTCACAGCAAATTTGACAACGATTATTTTCACAACAATGCCAAACTGACCCTAATTATGACCTAAAAAATCCGTAACCTCCTACATAGTTATCAATTTCCAACACACCAAATCATCGTAAAAATTCAACATACCATCAAATTTTAAGGTTCGATAACCAACATTGTTCCAATCCATAGATATAACTTCAAAGTTTCATTAAACTTCAATTTCAACATTCTTATCTAGCTATTAATTACAAGTCTCTCTAAGTAATGAATAAGAGGATTGCATATGTATAAGCAAAAATGTATATAGAAGCTTATTTCATTGTTCCAATTCATAGAGTAATGAGCTTTCATAAAGGGATCCTTCAAATAAGCTTATTTGAGGGACACTCGTGTAGGGCTCACTCCGCATTGTATTTCGTTAATCCAAACCGTCTATTTTTTAGATAATCATTCAAAGATCATCTCTACAAAAACTCACTTGAATCCAATATCATTTGACCACTCAATTGTATTATTGAAATTTAAGTACTTTCTTGAAGCACTGTGTTCATTGATTTTGTAGGACACAATTGGATGTTGAAACGGTTTCCAATTTGTCTAATATTCTGTAAGGATGATCTATGAATGTAGACTTAAAAAATGGATGGTATGGATCATTGAAAAAAAAATTTGTAGGGGACCCAAAGAGATCCCTCGATAGAATGGAACTGTATATATATATATATATATATATAAGTGCCTAGTTTGGTTCGGTTTAGGTCAATTTATAAAAGCTCAAAACTACAATTGAACCAAATCATTAGAGTTCAGTTTAGTTTTAGAATGTTTGACTTTTTGTGGTCAAAACCAAACCAAACCTGCCAATACGATTCGAATAGAGTTGTGTGGTCGAATCGACTGAATTGATGTCCACCTCTAGCTTGGATCGAGTGTCCAGTTTATAGCGGGTTGACATAATAAGAACACATTTTTTAAGCAAAACACGATTATATAGTGATGCGGCACTTTTATGACAAGAGCAGTTTAAGTGCTAAATCAATTAGTAAGTTAATGTGGCGTTAAAAAAGCAATTGGACCTACCCCAAAATGTAATTTAATGATCCAAATTGTTAGTTTTTAGCTCGTCATGAGAAGTTCATTTCTGCAAAGTTACACCCAAATAAAAAATGTCTTAGGCATTTAATTATTATCATGAACATTTCATTGTTTATAAATAAATAAAAAATATTGTATTCATCTATTTATTTTGTTACACTCACAATTAGATACCATGCCAATTTTTTTTTGTTGTTGTTGTACCCATTACAAAATGTTCCCATGGTCTGAACTAATTTCTTTTTTATATCCTCATTCAAAGATCATTTATGTAAAAATTCACTTGTATCGAGAAATATTTGGTTATTTAGATGTGACAAAATATACAGGCAAAAGATAATATTTTTTCGATGGACAATGAAATGTGTACAATAATAATCACATGCCTAAACGATCTTTTATTCGGGTGAACCATAGAAGAAATAATCCATCAACGAGGAGCCAATATATGCATAGTTCATATCTTGATATTACATTGTGGAGTGGGCTCCCGACCAAAAAAAAACAAAAAAGGAAGTGCGCTCAAAATTGGCATTAACATCAATTGAACATGCATGAGTTTTAGGAAAAAACTAACTCACTCAAAGCTAACTAGGAAAAGCCATCATTTTCTCAACAATTTCTTTGTCATTTGATCCAATAGAGTTCCAGCTAACCTAGACCCTTGTTATTTTGAGGTCATATCTAGTATTCAGAATTTGCTTCGATTTGATACCACTCTCACGGCTCGCACCGAAACAATGTTTTACCCTTAGATGTCTAGTCAACTGCTGCATCTCAACGCATTTCGGGGAGAACCAGCTAGCTCTGGGTTCGAGTGGGAGATTGGGGATATGTGGAATTTCTATAGGACCTATTTTACTGACATGATTTATCACAACTTTAACTACTTTAGCAGCTCGGCCGGTTTTCTCGAGATTCCTGACTATTCCATTTCCTGATGTTAACAATGTATCTCAAAGATGCATTTGGTTCATGGGAAATAAGATTTGGGGATGAGAAATTAATTGCTTTATCATGTTTGGTATGTCCATGGGAAATGGTTGTCTGGCATATGGGAAAATAGGAGGGAAATGTAACTATCCTTTCTATTTGGGTTTCATTTTCCCTTCTCATGGGAAACTTTGGGAAAATAGACCAACATTAAATGCATATTTTTCATGAATATTTTTCCCTCATTAATAATTATAGTACAGCATTAAAAGCATTCTTTTTTATTTGATTTCATATGGGTATACTTAAAAAATTAAACAAACTTTGTTTTACATTCCTAAGCAAACCAAACATGGGAAATGAAATAAAGTGGTATTTTCTTGTTACTTTCTTAGCATTACCAAATATGGGAAATGAATCTTTCATTTCTCATCGCTTGGGAAAAGATATGAGAAATTATTTTCCATAAAATCTTCTAAGTGAACCAAACGGGGTGGGAGTTAGAATTAATTTCAGTTTATTTACTCCTTGATTATTAGAATGGATTAGATTTAATGAAATGCGAATGACAATCATTTCTTGTAGGCTCGGATTAATAAATATGAAATAATTTCTTTTCATTTTAGTAAATCTCAACTATTGCCTAGAAGTAGGTAAATCAAAAGCAAGCGTACTAGCTGGACCTGAGTTTAGATGGTGGCACTGCCATAGAGGCTGATATGCCTAAAAGTACTTCCACCAATTTGTCATGGCAAAAGGCAAGGGAGGTAAGGGTTATTACTATTCACGTTAGTAGTGCATGTCCTACCAATTTTTTTGTTGCTTTTTCACCCATTGTTATGGCAAAAGGCAATTACTATTCACATGAAATTAATTTTATTTAAACTACTTATAAGATTAATTCTAATAAAATTTTCGACTATCACGTGTCCATATTTATTATAAAATTTACTTCTCAGATTTCAGATAAAATATTCAGATAAGATTTTCGGTTTCCACATGTCCATATTTATTATAAAAATCTCATATTTCGGATAAGATTTTGAGTTGCTACTATTGCGCCACGTGTCATCTCTATCTTCTAAATCCTATTATAAAACCACACCTCAACTCACACCAATCATCCATATCCTCTATATCCTTTCATTTATCAAATTTTACAAAACACATTCAACTTTCAATGTCTTACATGAGTAGGTTGTTGGAACTTGGAGAGGGCCGAGTGAGAAAATGGAAATAGAATGGGCGAACGTGCTGAAGAAGAAAGGGAGTGGGAAACACATGATGATCAAGTTGTTTTACCAGTGGGTATGCTCGACCAATCAAACCAACACCACCCTGGTTCACAACCCAGTTGTGGCCCTGAACGTGGACAGACATAGGCACTCTCAGGCTAAAAATGTCTTAGAAGATTACTTTATCTCAAATTTGTTGTACTATAGTGTTGATTTTCGAGGGCAATATAGACTACATCCTTATTTGTTTAGGAAAATCATGCATGATGTTGCAATTACGACGAATACTTCATTCAGAAGTATGATGCTGCCCGGGTTTCAGGTATTCTTCTAGAGCAAAAACTTACAGCTTCCTTATGGATGCTTGAGTATGATGCATCTGCATATTAGGTGGATGAGATTGCTAGGATAAGGAAATCAACTATCCTAGAGTGCTTGGTCAGATTTTGTGATGTAATCGAAACTCTTTACACAAAGGACTACCTCTGCAAATCTATGTCTAGGGACCTCAAAGGGCTTCTACAAATAGTCGAAGCTTGAGGCATGATTGGAAGTATTGACTGCATGCACTGGCAGTGGAAAAGTTTCCAAACTGTATGGTAATGAGATTATGAGAATAGAAAGGGGGAAACAAGTATTATTCTGGAGGTCGTTGCATCATTCGAAACCTGGGTTTGACATGCCTTTTTCAAAGTTGCGGGATCTCAAAACGTTCTTAACGTGCTCGGTCAAATCAACAATACCATCGACTCGAGTGGGTACTACCTAGCAAATGGAATTTATCTGAGGTAGACGACATTTGTCAAAACAATTCTGCATCCCTAATTAAAGAAGGAAAAATACTTTGCTGCCTATCAACAGGGTTATATGAAATATGTGGAAAGATATTTTCATATCTTCCAAGCTCATTGGGCAATTGTTTTGGGGGCTGCTCGTATGTTTGATGAAGAGGTGCTTCAGATCATTATGACGACGTGCATCACCCTCCATAACATGATTGTGAAGGATGAGTATGATTATGATGAACCATAAGTGTTCGAACTCGATCCCATGAATACGACATTGACAAGAATTTATGAACGACCCGTGGGAGCAAATGGACAACCTATGGAGCGCAAACCGTTGATTAGGGATGGTTGTTACAACAACTGCATAATTGACTGGTATAAGGAAATGCAATCTTCTTATGTTCACGAAAGATGTCAAGTTGAGTTGTTCGAGCACTTATTGGGGCATAAAGACAATCCCGGTCAATGTAGTCAAGTTTAATAATTATTTTTGAATTATGCTTTGTTCTAAATAAATGGCTATATTATTGAATGATTTCTTTATTAAATAAAAGACAATCAATATAACTAATTAAGAAAGAGCAACGTTATCAATACAACCTAATGGTTTTTGTCATTTAACCAATCTGTGTTGCTAGGTTCATCGTCATGGAAAAACATTCTTCTCATAACATCTATTCGTTCTTACTTCCAAAATGCCTTTATTTCAGGGGACATATGACTCATAACCATGACCATGGTTTCCAGATCTTTCTTGTCCATGTTGTGTTTGTGTGCATACTCAATTTCTCTTGCAAATGCCTCATCTGTTAACTTGTTAGCCTCATCTCTTTTGATGTTTCTATCTATTCTCATTGCGCTTGGGAGAGCAATTTGTTCCAAGAATTTTTTTTGTACATTCATTATTATGGGTAGGCATTGGAACTGAAAAACCATAAAACCGAACTGAACTGAGTTGAAAAAATCCAAAAATAAACTGTGTTGATTGAAAAAATCAAAAACCGAAAAAAAATCCAAACCGATCTGGTTCAAACCGATTCCAGTTCTGGTTTTTCAACACACAAAACCAGTTCAATCCGAACCGGTCCAGTATAATTAATTTATATATTATATCTATTTATAATATATTTTTTACACATGGCTCTTTTTTATTGGTTGTATATGGTGTTACCATAGGAGTACATGCACACGATCAACACAAAACTTATACGTTTTTCCCTTCAGCCGATTACGTTTTTGGTTTTTCCCTTCTTTCCTCCTCCAATTTCGTTCCTCCCTCCTTCAGCCGTGCCGAAACCTCTTTGACAGATCTCTCAGCCATTATCTCTCTCAGCCAAACCTCTTCTCCCTCGGCCTTTCTCTCTCTCTCTTTGACAGAGGCTGTCAGCGCCAATCCTCTTTACGCAAAACCTCATCTTAGGCAAACCTCTCTGTCAACAGCGCCTCTGTCAGCTAGTGCTTCTCTCAGCCTCCGTTTCTCTCTAAAGCGCCACCTTTCTCAATCGCTGCCATCACAGGTCAGATTGCCTTTTTTTTTCCCTGTTCCCCCTTCTAATCTCTGGCTAACTCTATCTGTCTGCAATTCGCAAATTCAGCATTATAGTTTGCAGCCATATGTTTATTTTATGTAGCTGTCTTTCTCTCTGTCAGGGTATGATTTGCAATTCGCAGATTTTTTCTTTTCTTTTCCCCTTTCAAATCTTTGTTATGCTGTCAAGTTTAGATTATTTCTTCACCTAGCTGGCTTGTGTTTCTTAGCTTTGTTATTGTCTGTTGTTTGCACAAGGTGTTTTTCAAATTGATTTAGGATTGTGGTTCAAATTGATTTAGAGTGTTTTTCAAATTGATATAGGTTTGATTAAAATAAAATGGCAGCCCTAGAAATTTATCAAATTGATTCAAATTGATTTAGGTTTGATTAGTAGCAGTTCATGCTGATTAGCAGGAAATTTCTGAAGCAGGTTGCAGCTTCCAGCATCAGTTCTGCCACTCTTTGAGGTATTCTTCATTTCTCTCTCTCTCTCTCTGATTTTGATGTTCTGCCGAAATTCTGCAGATTTTTTAATTATTTTTTGTGTATAAATTTCCTCTGTTTTTAATTGTTTTCATCTGCCAAATTCATGTTATAACGAAGAGTTCTTGTTTGTATACACTTCTGGTCAGATTTCAGGGTCTTCATTTGCTAATATTTGCCTTGTGTTATGAAATCAAACTGCCTTTTTAAACAATGTTGATGCCACTTGTGTTTCCATGAACCAAAACAAATAATGAAAATGAACTATAGAGAGGGATGCTCTATTTTAATATGTAGAGAATTACGAATTTGGGTTCTGCCACTTGAAGATGTATATATACAGCTTTTAACTCATAGACTGTTTTGTTCTTATAATTTAGAAGAATACAAGTTGAAGACAATATTGACTTTGACAACAATTTATTAAGCTGTATTATCTTTAATACATGTGTAATGACCTAATTTTAATACATGTCTCTCACTCTTAGATTATGAGCTTTATTATGTTTAAGGACCTAATTGGGAAATTAATATAAATATGTACATAGTTATTTTTGAGGTTTGGCAAAATCCTGCTTACGTGACTACATTACTATGAGAACAATAACAGTACAAGACACACTTGTACAATACATTGAACATCTTGTTGTGTTACTTGTGCATTCTATCTCATGCATATAGTCAATTTGGCGTACAGATTTCTATGACCAAAATGGTAAAACCAATCAGAATAAACGACCGCGTTTAATATATGCTTAGAGCTGTAACTACTGATTAAAAGCCGCAAACATAAAAAAAGAAAGCAAAGTTCTGAAGTTGAGATAAATTGGAAATGACATAAACCTAAGAGCACTTCCACCAGTTAGCCCCTTGCCATGGCAAGGGGAGCCCTAGGGCGGCTACTATTCACGTGAATAGTGGCTGCCCTAGCACAAAAAAAAATTGTGTTTCCAGCAGTGCAAGGCTTGCCATTTTTTTTTTTTTTTTACTTTAATATTTTTTAATTTTATTGGATGTTGGTGTTAAAAGTGGAAGAGTATTGGTTGGTATTTATAGAAAAAAAATTCATTATTTTTTTCGTATTTTTTTAAATTTTTTCCTATTTTTTTTCATTTTTTTATTGGGCAAAAAATTGCCTGCCGTTGGATTGCTGGAAAAAAATGATCGGAGAGCCCAGGAGCTTCCACGTGGCATAGAGCCGTTGGGGGTTGCTTTTTCGATTTTTTTATTCGCGAAAAAATGGCTGCCGTTGGATATGTTTAAAAAGCTAATCTGATGGCCCAGCAGAAGACACGTGGAAGAGAGTCATTGGGCTGTCACTGTAGCGGCGCGTCAAATTTTTTTTAAAGTTGGGGCTTGCATTGCACGCGCCAGCTTTAAAAAAATTTAAACCCAACGCTGACGTCAGCACAACCCGTGGACTGGCGCTCTAGTCAGTCTCCCCCTCAGGCCAGCCCAGGTTTGTGGGCCCCACTACTTGCCCTGACAGCTTCTTGTTGCTGGAAACCACATGCCCCCCCCCACCCCCCACCCCCACCCCCACCCCTTGGGCCCCTCCACTGAACCCAAGATACAAACTTTTTGGTTACCAGGAAGGAAGGTCCCATCTTTTAGGCAAGTTGACTGTGGAGCTTAGGAGTGGCTTAGGAGTAAGCTCCTGAGCTCCCAATTTCGGTGGCAGAAATGAAATCTGTTCATTTCTCACACTTCTCACCTCTAATTCGTGCCTCCAACCCTAATAATCATACTTCATCATCATCTTTTTCTTCTTCTTCGATGACTCTTCTCCAGCGCTGTAAATTCAGCAATGTTTCTCTCACCTCCACTTCCAGGCCCTCCCGCTCAATCACGCTTTGCGCTCCCAATTCCACCAAAGCGACGTCGTCGTCGTCGTCCCAGTTCGAATCGGTGACAGCGAAGGGCATAAAGGAGGCTTCTTTTCAGGTTCAAAACGACGATTCGCAAAGTCATTCAGTTCCAGCGTAAGATCACTTATTTCCGAGCTGTATCCCCCAGCTTCGAAAGAGATATTGCAGCTCTCCCCATTGCCTACAGAACATACCAGAAACAACCACATTGGAACAAGAATTTTTACAAGATCTCGAACATCCGATTTTAACCAAAGAAAAGGGCACCTAAAGCAACCTCAAAAGAAGACATTATCAAGACTTGAAAATCTAATTTGCTTTTGGGTTCATGCCCAACCCAACTCAAGAGAAGGACTCAAAAGACCAAGACCATTCAAGCATGAGTCCATGCCAGGAGTTTTTAAACATTCCATTCCATGCATAGCACTGCACAATAAATCTTCTGACAATCCAAATAGCACTCAAACTCATCCAAATAACAAAACCAAAAATATCAAGACCCAATAACAAGCAGTACAAAGATAGACAAAAAAATAATATAATCTGATTCAGGGTTTGGGGTTTTGGCGAAAAAGGAAATGCCATGGAAAAGTCAGAACTCCCTAAAACTCAACTGATTTCCTAAGCACTTCAGTGATTGCTTTTTCCTTTGGATTGAAGTATTAAAGAAAACTTACAAATAGTGTCGGGACAGCTGCAATCACAAGGCTCGTAAATGCCACAGAAGTCTGCACAATGAAATCAATTAACATAGCAGCAGTGTGTGCACATAATTAACTACATCTTATCATTTCTCATTTATGATTGTGGTTATAGGTTAATAGGCTGAACTACATTTTAAGGCATGATTTTTCAGTGGTTCCATGTTTTAACTTCAGGAGTTTGAACTACAGTTTGTTTATTAATTAACAGGTCAAATAGGTTTTAGCAGAACTCGGCAGTTGTAAATGGTTCTAGGATGGAGAAAAGCAATGGCAATAAAGCAACCCAGATTTTTTGGAGCATAGTTAGTTTCTTGAGGAGAAGTCTTTTTCTTGTAATTTCTGTTCGTCCTATACCTCATCACATTGCATTCATCATGGATGGAAATCGAAGATATGCTAAAAAGCGGAAGTTGAAGGAAGGGGATGGACATAGGGTTGGGTTTTTGGTTCTGATGTCCATGCTCAAGTATTGTTATGAGTTGGGAGTCAGATATGTGACTATATATGCCTTTAGTATTGATAATTTCAAAAGGGACCCTGAAGAAGTTCAATCCTTGATGGACCTGATACAGGAGAAAATAGAAGGGTTAATCAAGGAAGAAAGCATAGTTAACCGCTATGGAATTAAGGTACACTTTATAGGGAACCTAAAACTCTTGAGTGAACCTGTTAGGTTGGCAGCTGAGAGGGCTATGGAGGCCACTGCCAACAACTCCAGAGGAGTTCTGTCAATATGTATTGCCTACACTTCCACTGATGAGATTGCGCATGCTGTTCAAGAATCGTGCAAAGAAAAATAAGATGAAATCAGTGTGATGAATGCAAGTGGAGCTGGGTATGGTCAACTTCAACTTGGAGGGGATGAAAAGGAAGGAAGGGAGAACATTGTAAAATTGACAGATATTAAAAAGCATATTTACATGGTTGTTGCACACCTGACCCTGACCCTGATATTCTAATCCGTACTTCTGGCGAAACCGGTTGAGCAATTTTCTTTTGTGGCAGAGTGCACACTGTTATTTGTACTCTCCATCTGTGCTCTGGCCAGAGATTGGTTTCCGGCATTTCGCTTGGGCGATCTTGAGCTTTCAGCGTAGCTACTTTTATCTGGACAGAAAAAGGAAACAGTCATAATTTTGTTTATTGATGTATTTTCACGTTTGGTCTACTTGTTTCTGAATTTCTATCTTCTTTTCTGCGACTTCTCTCTCTCCCCCCTCTTTTCCTTTTCTTTCCTTTCTTTATTTCCCTTTTCTTTTCTTCTTTTTTCTTCTTCTTCTCTGCGACTTCACTCTTTCTCTCTGCAACTTCACTCACTCACTCACTCACTCACTCTCTCTCTCTCTCTCTCTGATCTGATGAAGAGGATGAAAGGGGTTCTTGCTATGGAGCCTTCTTCATATGCTGGTAACGAAGATCTTAGGACTAGGATCCTAGGACTAGATTCAAGCATCAGAGTCATGCAAGGAGAAATCTTTTTTTTTTTTTTGGTTTTGTTTTCATTTTTGGTGTCGGGTGTTGTTTTTTTTTTTTTTTTTTTTTTTTTTTTTTTTGGATTCGTTTTAGAGTTATTTTTCTTTGCCAAGTATCTGAGAATGAGAAGGAAAAATCAAATATTTTGGATATGAGTTATTTAGATTTTAGCATTGACTTGCTAGAGAATCGGTTCAGACCGGAAAATTGGGCCGAAAATAGCCAATTAGGCTTGATCCGGTTTCTCTTCTGTTTTTTTTTTCAAAAATCGAATTGGACTGGTCTGGATAAATAATACCAATTCCAGTTCTGATGTGAGCTGCAAACTGGGCCAAACCGGCCAAACCGGACTGTGCCCACCCTATTCATTATTCGAAGTGCTCTCTCTCTTGGTCTTTATCGCCCTTCTCCCAATAGGCCTCGGCTCCCTTTGGATTGGTGAGTCTTGATCGATTAGGAAGTCCAATGGTAAATCCGATGTCGATGAATCGTGGAGTGACGTCTCATTCAACACAACACTCAAACGTATGGGAATAATTTTGAATCTTGAACAATTCTTCACAATCTCCTAACATTTGTGATTGTTGAAAGATTTTTTGTCTTGGCCAATGGCACTAAACCACATTTGTGCTTGAATAATCTATAATAAAAAATAAATTAGAAATGTAAGAAAATATAAAAAAATATGACATTAAATTTAATAAAGAGATTTTCTATTTAAACCACAAACTTTTTTTTGTTTACCGCAATACTTAAATCATTAAGCTCTTAATTTTTATTATTGTGTAAAAAGGCAAAAGAGGTCATCCAACTTAATACTTAACAGTACTACATCTATACATATACCCCACACACCCCACCACTCTTTATATTAAGTTTTAGAAAAACACAAACTTCCCTACACCCTATTGTCATATTACTCTTCTCTTTCAATCCAAGAAAACTATCACACTCTCATCTTCTCTTCACAACCCCTAAATACGGTATGCAAATAGTGGCTTGTGGGTCATGAATTGAGGTTGTAATGTGAGATTATTTCTTGAATTGGGACTTTTCTGAGAATTATTGAGGATGCTGTGATCAAAGACTAATATTATATTATTTGATCATAATATATTTTTATGAAAACCAATATATATATATATATATATAGCGAGGTGTGGGGTGTGAGGTGTGAGGTTGATGAGTTTTTTTTCCTTTTTCTGCTGGGTGTGTATTTAGGGATAGTTTGGGAAGAAAGTGAGGTATTCTTAGAAATTGTGAAAATTTGAATTAGAAGTTGGGGTGAACAAAGAGAAGCGCGGGGTTTAAATAGAAAAACTCTTTAATAAAACTGCAATTACAAAAATTTTACCTCGTTGCCAAGATTTTTGCCGCTTCGAATGTTGTCCCTCGCTTTTGTCAACACATCTCTCCATTTCCATAACTCTTTATTCAAAAAAATTGACCTACTAGCCAAGGTCATTTCCGTATGAGGTGAACCCGATCTTTCACAAAATTCTCCATGAATTTTCCTCCTTATATGAGATAACTTCATCTCATTGCCCATAATCAGGCAATGACCAACTTGGATTCAATACTCACACAACAAAACATCTTTCATAGTTGTCCACGTGCCTCTGATTTTGATGGAAGATGTCATTTGTATTTTTTCACAAATGAAATTTAGTAGTAGAAAATAAAGATCGGAGAAGAATTTGTATGAATATTTGGTATGGAAAGTAAATAATATTGGTAGGTATTTACAGAAGAAAAAAATTGATAATTTTTTCCAATTTGTTTTCAATTTTTATTACATAAAAATTGGCAACTGTTGGATGGTAGTGGAAAAATTGATCAGACGCCCCAGGTAGCTTCACATGACTTTTAGTCTTTGGAGGAAAGCAGGCGCCGATGCCAACAAAAATATAATCAAATTTTTTTACCGTTGGCTTGCTTGACAAGTGCAATCTCCGCGTGTACGTCATGCGCCAACGATTAAAAAAAAGGGAGTTTCACTAAAACACCCAAAATAGGGACTGAAATTATAAAAAAACCCAACACCCAAAACACTTTATAAACACACCCAAAATCCATCATTACACACACTCAAAACTCATTTATAAACACACCCAAAAAATATACAATTGTTGATTTTGGGTGTGTTTCTATGTTTAAATAGTGCTTGGGTTTTTTATAAATACATGTATAGGATTGGATTTATTTATAAATTTGTATAAAAAAATTAACTTTTGTGTGTTAACGCCATCTTGGCATCATCGTTGACGTCATCGCCTAAAGACAGGAGCTCAGGCTCATCTTGCCTTGGGTCTTGCCTGGTTGGTGAACCTCTGTCTTGCCGGGGCAAGAACTGAACGTTGGAACCACATTTGGAGGCCCAAGGGCCCTTTAACCCATTCTGGGCTCCTGCAGTGGAACAGTCCTTTTCTTTTTTTTTAATTTTGAATAGGTTGAGAATAGCCAGAAAGGTCATAACGTTAACAAGTGAGATGACTTGGTTTGGTTTGTTGCATTTCTATCACTCAATAAAATATACTGAATAGTCCAAGTTTTTATTTTTAATTATTTGTCTTGTTTTAAATAAAGCATATTCGTCACTTTTCTAGCAAGTAGTGACAGAAAAACAATAATATATCTTCTCTGCATGGTGGAACCCTAGTTGCACTAGTTGAGTTGAATGCGTCAGAATCAGTAGTACATCTAACGATAAAAACTGCCCAACATTGTCAAGTCATACTGCTACAGTGAAGTCTGAAACGGCATCTTTTCTTCTTGGAAAAAATTGAGAGCCGTAGAACAATATTAAATTAATTTCACACAAAAAACTCTTTTCCATTATGAAAAAACAATATTAAATTTATTCGTACCAAAAATTCCAGAAAATCACGGGTTTAGAGATCACCACCAGCACCATATATCCAAAATTCCCCATTCCCATGTGCACATTTGGTGGCTTGTTTTTGTGATGGTTAGTGATTACCATTTGAGATTTTGAATTTCACAGCCACTACATGCACAAAAGTCCAAGACGTACTACACATCCCCCCATATATGGTCAAACTTCGTATGTGAGATAACAGTTAAATGTTTAATTAGTTTATTGAAGATGAGGTATCGACATGTTTTAATATGGGCAGACGACATGAATTAATTTTTAATTAATCGCATCATATGGTGGTATGACTGAAAAATCACTCCTTAGTATATGACCGTACCAATCACCAAAACCAATGCTTGACGTTTATGTACATGTGCGAAGATTTTGATTGTAGGATTCTCTTTAACTATTGGATGAGATATCCACAATATTGAAGAAGATAATTAAATACATATGAAAGATTGACTCTACTTGATGTTGATGATAAGGTAATTTATATTATGGTGGATTACCTTATCTATACATGAAGTGAGTTCATTGTTTTAAGAGTTCAAATATGTTCACTCGGTTATTTCTTCCTATTATGATAAATATCTATCATTTTGAAAAAATAACCAGACAAAAACTGAACAGTGATGTATTTCAATAAACAAACTTTTTAACAAAATCTGTTAACTGTCAACCAGAAGGTATAAAATCTCAGTTACCATTTTCAAGTCAAATAAGTTTAACAGTTCATGTAAAAATTGATGTTATTTTCATAATAAAATTTACTTTTTTTTGTTGTTGGAATAATAAATCCACTATTTGCGCACCTATTTTGTCTCCTACTTTTTTTATTCATCATATAAATCACAAATATGAGATCCGTGCATATGGGTGATGTTTATGGTATTCATAATGCATTTATACAATTATTGTAGTGGAACACTCACTATCAATTTTTTTTTAAAGTGAAAGTAAATTACAAAGTAGATCCTCTAACGATCTTAAGTTCATACAAATCAAAATGTAAACTAGACGAAATTGTATTCCTCTTTTTAGAGAGTGTATCAGCTACCATGTTTGCCTCTCGATAGATATGGCTTTATACATTAAATAAGCTTTTCATCTATTTCTATCCTAATTTTGTGTTTCTATTTTGTATTTTTTAAAATTATTTTTGTAACTTTTGAAGAAAAAAATAGAAAATTCAAAAATAGAAAAACAGAAGTGGTATTTGAACATTATGACATGGGTAAGTTTGTCCAAAAAAAAAAACCAACATTAAATGTTTTTCCAAGTCAGAGGAAATTTTTTTCTTAATTCTCCCCTATATGAGTAAGTCAGGTATTGCATTCCAAATGATGACTTACCGAACATGAAAAAACAATTTCATACCCTTATAAGTTTTTCGGTCAAACACTATCATAAACGCTTTTGCTCGTTTAAGAAACATTTTCTTTTGTTGATAAAAAAAACATGAACTTTTCTATAACTTTACTTGCCATAAAATAGTGGAGAGATGAGGAAAGTAGTGGTGTAGATGAAGTGAGTGGAATGGGCCTTCTGGGTTTGCGGAAAGTTTAGCCGTACAATTCCGAAAGGAGCGCAAATTTCAGTTTTTGTTTTGAAAGTTTTTCCGTAGCACGTCTCCGTAGCCACTACCACTATTAGTAGTACTGTCCCATGTGGAAATTTTATGTTTTCAATCAATCCTCGTCCTCTGGCTTTCACTGTAACTCAGCATGGACCCCGCAGGCAGATGGCACCACGCCCCAAAACTTAATTATTTTAAATTAAATCCTCTTTAGCTTTTTTCTCCCTCCCTTTATCTTGCATGTGAGCTTTTTTCAATATTACCATTTTGCCCCTCTCTTCTCTCTCCTCTTCAAGTCTTTAATTATTTCGTACATACATCATCACTATGTCTAATTTTTAAACTGAAAAGAAGTTCATACTACGCATGCTCCTTGCATTATTTTCGTCATGTTTATTTAATTTCATACTTATCGAAATTAACTTGTTTGAATAATTACTTTTTAATGTTTCACATAAACGCCTAATTTTCTTATAAAATTTTGGTATGGTATGTTTTTGTTTTTGTTTTGTTTTAAACAAGCGAGATTAAGAGAGATAAGAATCAAACACATGACTTAAAAGTGCACGGATAACATTGTTAACCACTTGAATTCCAAACTCCTTGCAAATCTCGATCCGTTTAATATTCACTAGCACACGCTCACGTGTGTGCCAATTGATTTGATTGGATTTATTTTAAAATTAAGAAAGATAAAATGGGTAGTTGTATTCCATAAAAATAGAATCAATTATTTGATTTTATATATGAAAAAAGTTTAAATTTACAATGTTTTCATTAACCAATGGTATTTTTTGGTATTTTGGATGTTTTACCATTTTCTACCTTTTACTTTATATATTTAATATTCATAATGTTTATATACAACCATGCTTGAAATAATTTCTCATGTTTTTTCCCAAGATTGAGAAATAGAAAAGTCATTTCTCATGTTTGGTAATGCTGGGAAAGTAACTAAGAAATATCATTGTATTTCATTTCCCATGTTTAGTATGTGTAGGATTGTTAAAAAAAAGAAGATAAATTTTCCAATTATACCCATATTATATAAAATAAGAAAAAAAATGCATTTAATGGTATACTGTAATTCTAAATTATTAATAGAGATAAAATAGTCATGAAAAAAGTGCATTTAATGATGATCTTAGTTTTCCATGGAAAGGGAAAATGAAACCCAAATGAGGTGAATGACTTCATTTGCCCCATTTTCCCATATGACAGACAACCATTTCCTATACATGGGCTTGCCAAACATGGAAAATCATTTGATTTCCCATTCCCAAACCTCATTTCTCATCAACCAAATTAGAAAAACATATATTAAACATGGATAACACTATTTTTCTACCCCGATCAATCACGCTATGCTATCCCCGTTGCACACAAGCACTTTATTCAAGGGTGAGAAGACACTGACGATCCACTTTCCCCACAAACTTCCTTCCTAGTAATTTCCATTAATAATACATTGGGCAAATAATGCAATCTCATGTCAACTTCCTTATTTTTGGTTCTACTACCTGAAAGTGGAGAATGTTCCATGCAGGCATGGCATCAGGCATGAAGCAGCACAAACACAAATAAACTATAATTAATGGATGCCTGGTAAAGGACTTCTAAACTCTTGACCAGTGGAAGCGACTACAATACCCTTTTAAAATTGAACATGCACAAATACTAAAAGTGCAATCATAAATCATAATATGAAATCAAGTTTTGAAAACCCAACTCCATTGTCATACTCGAACTGTTCTGTTTTCTTCAAAACCAGAAGTGCTTTTTTTATGTATATTCATTTATACATAATTTACAACATAAAAAATGTAAGAAACATAACTCCCATCATTGTCATTGTGCCGGCAGAATTCCTAACCTAACTTGTATGTCAACAACTTCTAAAACCATGACTGTAACGTTATCAGCACCTGCACAAAAACAGAGCTAGAAGACACATCTAAAGCCAATGGGTTTATTGACATTTTTATATATGCCTGCTTGGTACTTCAGATTATAATATTTTCAGAATCTTTCAAAAATCTATGGCAGTCAGTGACCTTTTAAGCCTATATGCTCTACATGGTTGTGGTTGGAATTTTGAGACCTACCCCGCCAACCCCCATAGCAAACTCGATCTGCATCCACTTTCATAAAATAAAAGTTTAGGAAATTGAGAAGGAAACTCCAAAGTTCCAAACATGAGAGCTTCTCTAAAATGGTCATGTCCCAGAGAAGAGAGGACGGAGACTTTCATGCAACGGGAATAGAGAAACTTTCATGCAATGGGAATAACACTATTGGCTGGCCCGTTAAAAGAAAAGTTTTTCTGCCTAGAGAGAGAACAAAAAGATTGCAAAATGTAAACCAAAATGCATCAGCAAATTGACTAACAGTAGAGTGTAAGCAATGCAATAATCAAAAGATGAAGGAGACCAAATTTAATACAAGCACATATATAAATAGTCAATATTAATCATAAAAGTTACCATTAATTCCAAAGAAAATTTCAATTTCTTGCTAACACAATTCCTAAGATTTCATCATCATCAACTAACAGCATCATTGAAACAACTTGCTGCTTCACAAAAGAGAAGGAAAAGAAAAAAGAAAAGAAAAAGGAGAAGTTCAACAACTACATCTCATTGAAATCCCCCTCAAAGCAAGTACTACAATTTCAAGATGGGTTTTCAAGGATGGCATCACATTTTGGCTGCCCATTGCCCACCACCATATACAATTTCCTAATCACTATTAATTGGAAGCATAGCTAAAAACCTTTTCCCAAAAAAACCAAAGGCATTAGAGATGTTCAGATTTAGAACCTAACATTGCTGAGAAGATCTAGAACACTTCACCTCAGCCCCTTGTTTTCTGCAACAGAGGAGTGAAGGCATGGCAAGAGGAATTAGCAGCAGCATTGGACGCCAATTCCTTGCAAGAATCAAAACCAACTTCAGAAACCATCTTCAAGAACTCTTCCAATCCCAGCCGTCCAAACTTGCTCTCATCCCTCTCGAGAAATCTCAAGATCTCTTTGAAAAACCCAACCTCGCAAGGCAACACGAGGCCACCGCTGCACCCGAACCCGAACTCTTCCTCGGCCCTTTTCAGTAATCCGACGAAAACCGGGAGGTTCACGAACCGGGCCTGGATCACGAACCGGATTCGCTCCGCTCCGACGTAGACCGCTAGAAAACCGGCGGGGATGCGCCGGTTCGAACCGGACGAGAAGGGGCCCGAGTCGTCGTAGGAGAGGACGGAGCGGCGGCGGAGACTCGTTAGCCTCCAGCGCATCACGAGTTGTTTTAGCCGGACTATCTGGCGGATCTTCTCGACCTTTTTCATGGCGGTCGCCATTTGTTGCAGAGAGAGACGCAGAGAAAGAGCGCTGTGTAGTTTGGATTTGAGAAAGAGAGAGAGAGAGAGAGAGAGAGAGAGAGTGTGTAAAAGAAACTGAATAACCTTTAGTACGGGGATGGAGTCCGTGATTTGGAATGATTGTGTTTTTTTGTGTGGATTGACTAATTTGCCCTTTTGGATGATCTTCATTACTTTAATTTAATAGCTAATTTTTTTTTAATTATAATGATAGCTAATTTTTAAAAATCTCGATATTACGGATTAATTATTATTTTTAATTGTTTTTGCTGTTGTATTTTTTTATCTTATGGTTACCTCTCTCTAATTATGTAACTAGTTACGGTACGAGACATATAGAAATCCAATTGTATATGTTTATATTTTTATCATATTGGGATGTATTGGTGGATAAAAGAGTGATGAACCTGTAACACTTTTATAGGCATGTAAATCGGTTATTATCTCAATGAACCTTAATAGTAGGCACACTATGTATTTGTGGATAAAAGAGTTATTATATCAATGAACCTTTAATACTAGGCACATTATCATAGAAGAATCTGTAGTATGTAAAACTTAAAATAGTTAGAAATATACATGGACGTAGAATCAATTTTCTTTTTTTGGAATATTAAAGAGAACGGAATATTTGACTTATCCGAATCTTAATCCGTTATCTTATCCCCTTCATTATTTGCCCTAACATCAAGGGAGTGGAATTAATTTAACGTAGCCACAAAAGAGCAAAAACTTTATCACCTTATCGACGTGAAAATCATTCTTGTTTTGAAAGGAATGGAAGACTTGTTTTGAAACATTAGGAAATTTATTTCAACCTAAAAAATGATGAAATTTATTGCTAAAGAGAAGAACTTGGGATAGAGGAGGGGCCTCCCTGGGTTTACCCTCTCTTCGCTAATGATTTGACATGATTCGTTATTAAGTTAATAACTCGATGGAAGAAAAGAGCAATAGCTAGTAGGTCAATTTGAACTCCTTGAACAAAGCTAGGACAACCATGACTATGCTTGAAATGCAACACAAAGTAATGGAAATGAAAAACTGTATTCGTATTCTGCTTGTAATGGAACTCTTTTTGTATAAAATAAAAAATAAAAATAAATGTATTTGAATGCCCAAAAAGTAATGCAAACTCTTTTCTCTATAACATATTCAATATGAAGAAGTTTTTATGATACATTAGATTTAAGAGTAATGCTAGGCTTATCACATTTTTATACCACATTGTGTAACACTTCTCTAATAGAGGTGAAGCCTACCAATGCTTGGACTGGAAAACTTTTTGGTGGAGCCCACTCAAGACTAACGCAGCCCATGTGTAAGGAGGAATCAATGGGGCGTCATGTGTCGCGCTGCTGGTGTTACAGAAGCTGTCGCGCGTTGGTGTGAGGAAATCAATTTGGTATCAAGTTGATGTAGGATTGGGTACCAAACAGGAATGGTATCAAGTTGGATTGGGTACCAAACAGGGTCACCACTATGTAACCCCTTGAAGGATCACAAGTAAAAGCTACATAGCGCACACTCGATAAAGCCATATAGCGACCAAAATTTACTCTTTAAAGGGGCCCAATATTAAATAATTTTTATGAGATATGACCAAATAAAATGATTGTAAATTGAGAAAAATGAAATTATATATATATTAATTAATATTAGGCATTCTCCAACCCATTTTGTCCTAAACCCAAATTTCCTCACATCAGCGCGTATTGGCATTCTCCAACCCATTCTATCCACCAATAAATCAATTATACGTAGCGTATTGGCTGGAAATCAATTTGGTATCAAGTTGGACAAAACAGAAAGACAGGAAGTGTGCTGAAATACATGTCAGGTATCAAAATAGTGGTGTCCAATTCCACAACGCTTGGGAGAGGAAATTTTTTGTGCCTTATATGCAAGGCTGGACCCAACTCTAGAGAAACACTCTCATGCAATGGGGATATCACTTTTTGCTATTTCCGACCAACAACGTAACGATTTATGAGCTAACTTTTCTACATGTCATTGTGTTATTGACCGAAGATAGCAAAACAATGCTATTCCCGTTAAAAGAAAGTTTTTTTTTGTTATTGCAAAAGTTGTTACTAATATTCATTCGAGATTAGAAAAGAAAAGGAGAATAATTACACACTACACTCCACTCAAGTGAAAGTAGCCCACCCCACATCCTAAAGTCCACATTTTTGCACTCAAATCTGGATCTAAAATACTAGATCAAAACTTCTTTATGATTCTGCCCTCACTATAAGTGCATATTCCATTTCGAAAAGAAAGATGCATTTTAAGCTGAAAAAGCCCAAAAAAAACTGTCAGGGTTGGGCCCGAAGTAGACAATATCTTTATATAAAGATAAAACGAGCAAATTATCTTATTGGGCTGTGGGCAATAATTTTCTGAAGTGATGCTCCCTTCCCCGTTTGACAAAAAAATGGAAATGTTAGTCTTTTTGTTTGGTCGAAAATCGAAATATAAAGCTGCTGCTGTAAACAAAAAGGATGATACGTGTAATTTACTTGAAAATAGTTGATATGACGTTTTAACCGGATATGCCGCTCTGGCCTACACTGACTGTCGAAGAAGGTAATGATTTTTTCTTCAATTTCACAACGTCTCCTGAGATCCACAAATCTTTTATGTTAAAGCTTAAAAAGCTTCTGCATTTGCATTGGGATCGATTAGATTGGCGATTCTGAGATCATTTGGGAAGATGGGTGAGTGGTCTTGGCCTTCTGAAGCTCAGGTACTCTTTGATCCACTGAGATTTTATGTGGGTTCTTTCTTTCTCCTCTGTTCTGCTCATGTTACAATCATATCAGTGTTGTAAATAGTGTATGGGATAGTGCATTGTTGATCCACCAAATTCCAGTTTCTTGGTACTTGTATGTTGAATTGAAGTCATTTAGTATATCAATGACAACATTAGCACTGTTTAGCTGACATGTTCTAGCTTTTGGAAGCAAGAACTGGGTTGTCATTGGTTCCCCAAAAGCAAGGGAACTAACTTTGCCTTAGAATTATCTTCACTGTGGGTTCAATTATTTGGATTATATAAAGCTTGAGTTTTATTTAGAAACTTGATGGGTATGTTAGCATGCATTGTTTTTGGCCTCTGTTTAATCATTTCGCAATGCCGTCTGGATCAAAGATCTTATTTTGTATGCTAATTATATTTATGTATATTGTAGTTAAATGGAATTAGGCAGACAGTTTCAGAAATGGCTGGGAGAGGTATCGAAGACGTTCGGGTTGTAGTTTCTCCTTATCGAATTTGTCCATTAGGAGCTCATATTGATCACCAGGTTAGTTTTCGGTTTCTTTCGATGATATGTGCATGTCGACCTCTTGATGATCTAGTTTTCAGTAAAATTTTAAATTTTATTTGTTGTTCATCTAAAAAAGTTTGTTTCCATATGCTTTTTGAGGTTTTCTGTAGCTGTTAATTTATGACCTTTTTATTACTAAGTCGCTGTTCATAGAATTGTATGTAACATTTTACCAGTGCATGTTATTGGTTAATTTGCTAGTTTCTATTAGGCTTTCTGTTAGATGCCAAACTTTGTTGTTTTCATTCTATTATTTTTTGGGTAATATGTCAAAAAGTTATGTTCACCTTTTTTAAATGGTTGCAGGGAGGGACTGTATCAGCTATGACAATTAATAAGGGAATACTTCTAGGTTTTGTTCCTTCCGGTGACACTCAGGTAACTATCAAATATAGTCTTTTAACGAGTCTAGAAAACCAGTGATGATGCCCAAAAATCTTGGTCAACTAGTTTTACTTTATACAGTATTTAATATGAAAACATCACTCTAATTAACAAGTAATAGCAGACTGAGGTCAACTAATCATTTTCTTTGAAAGCATAGAGCCTTTTTCAGTTTTTTATTGATTTGAAATTGTTATTGAATGAACAAGAATAAAGAAGAATTTAAGAAGATGTGAAATCTCTGGAAATGGAACTTAATTAGGATGCGCAATATCAAACCTTATATGAATTTGGGGGCTGCTGAGTGTGTACCTACAAGGTGCAATAATGTACAGCAATAAGGTTTAGGGTACATTGACCAGGGCAGCTTCTACCTTACCAGGTCTGCTCTTCCATTTTTTCATCTAAGAAATCCAGGAGTTTCCTTGATGCATCCATGGTTTGTTGACTGGGTATTAAATTCCCAAAGGTCCTCAAACATGGACTTTGCAATCTACTTGTACTTGTTGATGTAAAGAGGAGATTATTAAGCTGTCATCCCTGTCCTTTATTTCTGACAGCAGATTATTACGTTGTTATCCATGTTTTAGTTACACCATAAACCGCTGAGTGATTTCTTCTTGTTGTTGTTGTTTTGTGTGTGTGTGTGTGTGTGTTTTCTCCTTTTGAAGTTCGAACTCCAATTAAGTTGTGTTTGGTGCAAGCTTTTCACCTAGCTTGGTGGCTTTGCTCTTGCAATGGTTTTAATTCAGTTTGTTTCAGCACACACCACTTGTTCTTTGCTTTGTTTGAACTTATTCTTTGATTCCTAGCACCTACATCATATCTGTATTACATAAATTGTGGATCCGAACTATAGTTTGATTGAGTCTCTGAGACCTTCAATGAAAATCGAATAGTTTTTCCGTACCTAAAGTCTCTGCCCCTCCCCTTCGTCTCTCATTGTGTGAGTGCTGTGATTGAATGACCCATGGAGTATCTCACCATGACATATGTGTTTTTGGTTGCTCGAAGATGCAGTTAGATCATTATTGGTCATGAGAAAACCAAAATCTTCAGATTTTTATAATGCTTTGGAACTATGAATGATCCATAGAGTATCTCATTATCAGATGCATGGTTTTGTTTGCTCAGATATGAAGTTGAATCATTGTTTGTCATGAAGAATGAACTCTTGAAATTCTGTGAATGCATTGAAAATATGGGATTATTGAACAAAAACTTATACTAGAGAAACTTTTAAACTAAACTATGAAATTTGAA